TACATTGTGCTCCTGCGCAAGGGAAAACAAGCAGACCCCTTTAGATCAAAAAGCCCACCTGACCAGATTTTCGGCACCCGGGGTCCGCAATGTGATGCTCCAGCACCCCCCGGTGCAGCCAAAGCCAGGCAACCACGACTAGGCCGGGTCGGCCTGAACCAAACCGACCGAGCAGCGTCCTTTGTCTTTGTCTTTGTTTTTGTCTCTTGTTGCTGATGGTACAGCTATGTACCAGTGCCAGCCGAAGCGTACGACATGACTCCGAAAACCCCATTGACTGTTGATTCTGCCCCAATCGCTATGAAGGTGATATACTGCCTCACAATGATCCGCACTGAACCAGAGGATACAGCAGACTCCATACCAAAATGGTCAATGTGGATTTCGGGGCTGTTCAAGCGGCGACAATGGTTGTAAAGACGACGAGCGAGGGTGCATTTCTCATTTGAGTCAAAGTAGCCAGCGGTTGAGTGAGCCAGGCCGTTTGACCGCGTGCCCCTCTCCTGGATTGGCTCACAACACAAGCGCAACAGAACTTCAGTTGATGAATCGAGAACACCATATTAACCAACTTTTATTTCTGACATGCTCTCTTAGAAGAATTCACGGGATACCACGCAAGTGGATCGAGCGTTCCAACCTCTGTTGTTTGTTTGCTTTCCAAATCTTGCGGGTTGAAACATCACCTCGGTGAAAACTTCTTGCTCGAAACGGGCCAAAAAGTTCATATTGCAACCCAGCTCTCCTGTGGCCAAAGGAAAGCAAAGGAACCCGTTTTTGGAACTCCATCTTATCGGGAAACCCTCTCCAAAAAACAAAAAACAAAGAAGAGCACCCACGGAGGTTTAATTTTCAGAGACTTCTTTACCCACAGGGGCCCCACACTCAACTTCTTTTCTGTTGGCCTTGTCTCGGGTAAAAACACACTATGGCACAGTGCCCAGCGGTTCCCCTGTAGAACAAAAGCATCTCCTATCAGGGTCTCTGAGGAATGCAAATCCCGTGCCGGAACCCTTCGAGGAGACTTGTTTGCGGGGTCAACGTCCCATTCTTTCCAGCCATCCCCCAGTTCAAAAAACAACTCCTGGGTTCTTGGACAGTTTCCTGCAAAGATTGGAATCCGCAAGTTCGGCGTGGAGAAGTATCCCCATTCCGAAAAATGGGGCAGGCCCCCCCCTTTTAACGGGTGGCGTTCCTTGGGTTTTGCACATTTCAACCACCCAAAACCGGGCACCCTCCATGCCATTTGACTCCGAGAACAGGATCCCGATCGCAGCTCCAGCGCCAACAACCGCTTGCCTCCGCATCTGCCCCCACATTCTTCCTGGGCGAGCTGAACGCGGTACGCGGGGTGTTGCGGACAACATCCAAGCGCCAGTTGAGCAGGAGTCGTTCCGGGGGAGACCCCAGTTGGTTGGTTGAAAAGGCGCAAAAAGTAGTAAGACCGTCATCTGTTGGGTACCCAAATGTGTTAACGAAGCCATCTTGGGGTGCACGGGTCTGGATCAAGGAGGCCTGCAATGGCAGTGTACCCTAGGGGTGGACGCCTAATGCCTCCACAAATAGTCGGTATATGGCGAAGCACCCCGAACATTGGTGGAGGGCGTATTCTCAGTTTACACAATGTCAGCCCTTGACTTTTCGCTTGGAGGCTTCTTGGGTGTGAACATGCAAAGCCACTGTGGCATCTTGCATCCTCCCTCCACAAAGGGCTCTAACCTAAAATCTTCCCAAAAAGACTTGAAGGCATCCAAAACGGGGTCCCCAATTATTTCCCCTTAAAGCCTCCCAAAAAAAAACAAACCTTCCTCAAAAAAACCGACAGAGGCACAAGAGGACTCCTGCCCCCTCCCCCCTTTGCGGCGCTTGGGCGCCCGCCCGAGAGCCGGGGCCCGGGGCCCGGGCGTCTTCCGCTCGCGGGTGGGCCGTGCTGAGACCTTCTTCGGGGAGCCGAGGTCCCGGAGCCAACGCTCCTCGCAAGCCGAGCGCCCGCGTCGCTCGAGAGCTAAAACCGGAAGTTCAAACCAAGGGACTGGCCATGTTGGCCCGAAAATGGTCGGAGCTGGTCGCCAAAAAAAAAGAGGTCTTCGCAAATAAATGTCCCAGAAATCTTGGGACATGGGAAATGGGGCGGCAAAAACCTCGTTCAATGGAATTTACTGGACTTGTAGGCCTATTTGTAGCCAAACAAGGCGGCCAAGCAAGAAACTCAGCGATTGGGAAACCAGCTCTCTTTCCAGCAGGCCCAGGGCACCTATAGATTAAACAAGCTCCTGTTCCCCTTAGTCGGCTCTGGCAACCCTGTTTAAGACCCCGTGGAAGATACAAACACAAGGGGTCCAGCTACCCTGATATGAGTTGGGACCTTCCCCCTTTAGTGGCGCCTCACAGCTCGCAACCAAGGACACCATGATTCAAGTCCAAGTCCGACTTCGAGGGCCAAATGTTCCAGAACATGGAACCTCCAAAGCCTTTCTTTTTTAGAGGGCACTCCTTTTGAGGGACCTCCCAAGGTGGAAGAACATGTTCCCCGATGAAGGGCGCTGGTGGGTTCTGTACGAGGGAAGGCACATGTGCCATAAGCGCAGGATTGGGCTCATGTTGCTTCCAACTTCAGCTTGCGGGTTGGGTTCAGCATGACCGTCAAACATCCGACTTTATGGCCCCCTTCCCTCCTTCGAAAAGGAAATCGAACAGGAAACCGCGGCCCAGTTCTGAGGATTCCATATCCCAGGAGACAAACTCAACCTGGGCAAATCTCAGCCCAGCTCCTGCTTGCTGTAGCTGAAGTCGCCGAAGCCGCTGTCCTGCCCCAAAGGGATGCTTGAACACCTAATGGGTACGAGTCAAGGGGACCCCCGAACTGGTGGCTTTCCTTTTGATCCCCAGAAAGTACCGAGAGTCAAACAAAAAGCCCCTTCTTGGACCTTTGGCTTTGCATTTAAACAACGGAACATCCCCAGAACGGGAGCTTTCCATTGTTTTTCCTGATTTGTCCTGTTCAACAATCGCCCAAAACAACACCCACCTACATGCTTTTTGGCTGGGTGGCAATGAGCGCCATCTGCAGGGAGTATCCAACATCACCGGCCGGAAACTTGGGCACCCGTGTCCACTGTCAGATATCCGTTGGTTTCGATTCCGGCCCAAACAACGACAGAACTGGATCTTGGAATACGTTAAACCCAATTGCAAATCGCTTGGCCTAAAAGAATCAAGGCCACACTATATTAAGGACCTCCGCTGGTGCCACACTAGTCTTGAGGAAGCATCGTGCAACAGAAACGGCCGGCCCTGTGCCCAGGCAAAGGAATCGCGCGTCAAGCAAACGTCCAGCTTCAGCAATCATCGCTTCATTTCCATTTCACCGCAACCAGAAGGTACATAGAAGCAAACAGACCCGTGATCTGCTCTCAAGTTGGTTAGTGCATATTTCTTTTGGAAGGGTCCATGGTTGTGACTCAACGCAAAGTCTCATTGCGGGTTGGTGGTTTCGGACAAACAAAGTTGTAGCCGACAAGTCAAAGAACACCAAGCCCCTTCTCCGGTCCGTTCAAGGTGTCCTTTGATTCTTTTTTGGGGGGGTTGGACAAAAACAAACGACTTGTCCCACGGAACTGCTGATCAAAGTCCAACGTTTTGTCACCCACCCGCCCCGCGCCTCTATCTTGTTCCTGGCATGGCCTGACAAGATTGACCCAAGGCTTTCCCAATCGCCAAATTCGATGCTGATTTTTTTCAAACAAGGAGATTTGACAGCACCAAGAAAAAGGTTTAAGACTTACGTCTGGATGCTTTGGTAAACAGAAAAGTCGACATCCAGGTCCAAATGGGAAAACTCGTAGAGTTCTATCGCAAGATCCCGCATGTTTTCGGGTATCACCGTCCATCATGCTTCTTTGAAAGGGCCCCATGTCGTGCAGTATTGCGGGTTGCTCCAACACTGGCAAAAGGGCTGGACAGTTGGCTCTAGGCAAAGGGGAGACCAGCGCAACTAAGCCAATTTCCTACCCTCGGGCTTTGATCCTGCACCTAATTGCGGGCGGATCATCCTGGCTCTTATGGTCTTTTGGGTTGGCTATGCTCCAGTCGTTTCAAAGAGGATGCAGGTCATCATGGTTCCCTCCTGGCTGTGCTGCCATTTCCGGGGCCCAAGCATTCCAGATGCTGAAAATCGGGGGGAGCCCACGCACCGATTTGGAGCCATGCCTGTCGTGGCTTTCTGAATATGAATGATTGTCAAAAACATTTAGGCCTCTGATGACTATTCGTCTAGACCAAGTTGTCAAGTATTTTGTCGCAATGACAAAGTAGGGCATCCCCAATTCCATCTTTGTCCAGTCTTCCAACTTCCGACCACAAGGAAACGGCCTCTTTGTTTTCTAGGCCGAAATAACATTTGCACGACTTGCCAGGCCCATGTGGCTCGCAGTGGATCATATCCCTGCAATCTGCCACTTGGCACTGACTTGAAGAACTATGCAACAATATTAGTTCATTCACTAACTTGCAATGTTGGCCCCCTCAGAAAGAAACGTTCACCTCAGAAGTTCGCAAACCCCCTTAGCGCGGGGGCAGCGCAACACACTACGCAGCAGCCGGCCGTACACTCTGCATCGGATTCGACCCCCCTCCAACCCCTCCCCCTTTAGGCCCCATCAGAGTCCTATTTCGGGGAGGCAAGGGGAGCGGGGACCGGGGGATCCTACGAAGCCCCAGGCGGACTTGGCGCCTTGTGAGGTTGAAGGATCAGAAGGATCGCCCAGGGAGCCTGGCAGTCCGAGTGCCAGGCAGCTGCTGCGCGCAGGGTTCCCACCTTCATTTTGAACTTATCCGCGCTTACGCCCTAGGCAGCCAATTTGCTGTCCTCCGGGTGATTCAAAGCCTATTGACAGAATGCATCACGGCATATTTTGCCCGATTCGTCAGCACTGAAAATAGCTTGTTTCCTTTCGGATTTCCTCTTGGCATCTAAAAGCAGGACCAGTTCTAGAAAGCCTACAAGGCTGCTCAGGGTAGCTCCTGTGATGCGATGGCTATGTCCTTGTGTGCGCGAACCCCGCTGCAGGTAAAACTTTGAGAGCCCCCATGTCCTCCCAAACTGACGCTGGGTTCCCTATGTGCCCCCATTTGACATCACCCCACCAAAGAGAAATTTAAGTAACATGGGGAAGATTCGAAATGAGTCCCCTTCACCACTGAAAAGGGAACCCTCAAAAAAAGACACACCCATGTTCACATCCGGGAGTTCGTTTGCACGACTTGAGGCAAATGAATAAGAAATATCTAGCAAAGGTCGCCGCTGGTTTACCAAAAAAAAAGCCCAACCCTTATTGGGGGGCCCTTGCTTCGTGTCCACAAAGCAGTTCCTAAGTTCCAAGGCTTCTCCCCTCTCACGTACCGTTGCATAACTTGAGGCAGGCTAACAGGAAGCCGCTAAGTAGGTCTGACAAGATTGAACCCTACCAAGTAAGTGGCAACTATGATATCATTCTGGCCCATATATCCTTGCTCTACTTGAATCAAGTGGGATATGCCCAAAAGCACTTGCCACCTGCTGGCAGGCCTAACCCAATGGCAAAGGTGCTCAATTCTCCACTGGCGCCTTCAAATGCGCTCGCCCCCTTGGCCGAGCGGGAGGTCAGGCTTGTTCAGCCCCTTTGAACATGTCTCAATCTGAGCGAACTCGAAAAAATCCACGCCACCAGTTGATAGGTTTATCCTGTAGGAAGACATCCATGCCAGGATGCCAAATGTAAGTTTGTCCATCAACAGCATCATAGTATATCAATCTTAGCCGCCCCCCCCCCCCCCGCCCCAAAGGAAGGGAGCCAGAATCAGAATGCTTTCAAAACCTGCCCCCTGCCCGGAAAAAGGTGAGGAAAGCTGGTGTGGAAAAAAGCCCCCCCTGGCCCACTTCGTCACTTTCAAGGCGAGTCACTTGGCATCACTCAGCTTTGTTACAAGGGCAGAAGGGGAAACAGGCGAGTAAAGCAACTGTGAACTTTGGCATAGGACGCCGGACGGCTTGGAACACCGAAAGCCGCATGAAACATCGGGCCTCAATTGCTCATGCGTCCCCTTCTACGGCGCGTACTAGTCGCCACGTTTTGTACAAACCGCGCGAACAAACAGGGGGAAAAAGGCAAATGAAAGGTGCGGGCTGGGGTAACCAAACGTGAGTGAAGGAATGTGCCCAAACCCTCCTGAAGCAATGCGAGATATCTGCAAGTGAAGTTTACCAGTCCCAGTCCCACCAGCAGCTTGTCTCGAAACCTGAAGCAGTTTCCTCTTCAGGCCAGGCCAACGGAACTAAGGCCGAGGTGTTCTCCATGATCCATGAAATCCCCTGATAGTCCTTTTGCCGAATCCTGTTGGCACCACTTGTGGCCTTTGTCATAGTGTCCAATCAGGTGCAGAATTGCAGAAGTCCCGGCCCATCCCGCGCAAAAACTTGGTGGCACTGCCCTTCCTGAAGTTGAACTTTTTGTTGAGTGGCAAAACACTGCTTTTCCCCCCAAAAGCAGTTAACCAAATAGCAGCTGAGCAAGATCACCGCCCCCTATTTGAGACACTGAGCCCACCTTGAGGTTGTTCTTCCACCCATTGGAGGAATCGCTAAGCTGGCAACCCCCAATTCACCACTTCGCACCCGACCCCTTGGAACTAGGCCGTACTTGGGCTATTCCTTTAGCGCTCAACCCCTCCGGGATCCTCGCCGCCGAATGGATCTGCCGAGTCCATCGAGGGCCCCGGCCCAGGGCTCCTCCCGTGCCGTGGGGGAGGCCGGCGCGCTGTTGCCGCGCGCCGGGGAGCCGGGCTCCTGAGAACCTCCGCACGAGCCATGGGTTTCGGATGCGCCAAACACGTCCTGCGGGGGGGCGGGGGGGGGGGGGACCTGAAGGGGAAATGGTCCTACTGTGGATCTTTTTTGGCGCTTTGCTCTTAGTGCATAGATCACAGGTGGATCCAGCGTTGCACGGCACCGGACATGATCGTGTGACCGAGCAACAGAGGGCGCTCACCTACGGTGAGCGGAAAAGAAATAAAAAAGGCCTCACGGCGAATTACCATCAAGCCAAGCCGGGTGAGCCCCGGGTTTGGCTACCACGAGGTCCAGGGGGGACCTCAAGCTACGGGTAAACCCATCGGGTCGGATGAAGTACCGGCGCAGGACCGAGGCAGCCTCCAATCCAGAGGTGAGTGCCGGTCTCTGCAAGAGGCCGGGTCTTGGTGTGGAGTGCCCAATTTTATGTAGGGACCACGAGGCGGTGCCAGTGCCACAAGGCCACATATTGAAGTTAAGGCGTTTCTGAGTCTGGCTTAAGAAACGTGTCCAATTGTAACTTTGCGTGGCAAGGCTACGGTCATCACAAGAGTCGGCCTCAATGGAGAGGTCACGGAGCTCCCACCTTCCCGGGTCCCTGGAGGTGGCCGGGGCAGGTATGAGATTAACCGGCATGCGGGATCCGGAGAAGAGAATGAAGTCGACATAGAGTTCGAGGAAACTGATGTCTTCGCCAGCACAGCGTGGTGGGTCAGGCCATGCGAGGCTGTTCCTCCAAGCGAGGACCCTCCAAAGAAAGATTGCACCAAAATTGGAGGATAGGATTTTCTCCCTGGACAGGTCAATAGGGAGATGAATGTACGGGTGCGCAGCAACAAGGTCGGAGAGGGAGGGAAGGTTATTCACCTCAAATTCTCTCTTGGATTTGGTAGCTGGCTTGCTATCTTTGACAGCAACAAGGGCAATTTTGCCCAGGTAGGCAATGAAATCGTTGTACACTTGCCTGGTAGCTGCTTGGTGGCCGCACGTTGGTGTGCAAGGAACAAGGGCCTATGCTGATGTTGAACGCAGTGCTTGGCAGCCTGATCAGCCAGGTCATTCCCTTTGGCTAACCATCTTTTCCGGGGGCACAATAAGGAGTTGATGTCTTGGTGGGCTGCAACTTTGGTAATGGTAATGCAGCCAATTGGCCGAGCAGAAATTTGGGCATCGATTTGGGACAGGATAGGGTCAATGCGCAGCTTGGCCTTTTTCCCTTCACCAAGGCAGTCCAACAGGCCTTGGACTACGGAGACAACTGCGCTACAATCGCAGTAAAGGTGTGCAGACCAAGTATTTTGGAGTGCCAACAAAATAGCAAACAGCTCGGCGCGAAAACTATTCTGCTCCAAACCGGGTACCAGATCACAGGACACAACCCTACCCGATGGCCAGTCTGGCTCGAGCTGAACCACAGCACCAGCTGCGAGCCGACCCATCAACAAACAGGTGGGTGGAGCAAGAGTTGGGTGCAGGGGTTTCACAATAGGGCAAAGTTCTACATAAAGGTGCGCGCAGGGTATGGGCATCAGGGTCTGCCGGGCACAGTAAGGTTTGGCAGGCAAGGGGCCACTTCTTCACTGCCCGAATGGTGCTGGTGCGGTTGGCGCGGATGTGATCAACCGCAGGGCAACGCATTATGCGGTGGAACTTGCTGTCAGGCTCACCGCACAATGGGCAGGAAATGTCGGTAGGTTTATACTTGGGAAACTCGTGGGTGAAGAATTTGCCGTTCATGATGGTGCCAATGAGGCTTTGCTCTCTGGGGCTCACACGCTTCATAGCCGCTACCGCGGCATAAGGATCAAAAGCACAAAGCTGGAAGTCCTTACGCGTGCAGCATTTTCGAGTGGCATATTGGATCCAAGCCGGATAAAGCTGCTGCCTGAGAGTTTTGATGGTGCAGTCCAGCCATTCGATGGTGAGGTTGGAGTCAGGGTGGACCAGGATCCTAGGGTCCTCAGCAAACCTCCACCCGAAGCGTTTCAGGGCAGTCACAAGGCTCCAAACCGGTCCTTTAATCTTCCCACTGGTGTTGGAAAGGAGTGTGGAGAGGACGTGGTCGGTTCGCTCAGGGAAGGCGCGGGTGTACTGCCGAAAGGACCTAAGGCGAATGATCACATCTTTCCACTGGGTCAAGCCCAATGTTTTGGGTGTTGAGGGCAGGCCAGGAGTTGGTGCCAGGCCCCTTATTTCCGAGGGCTGCCGCAGTGGCGGCTCTGATAGAGTGAAGTTCACACTCGGTGACGCTGTGGGCACAAATGCCATAGGTAGCCTTGGCTATGCCAGCGGTCTGCGCCATGGTGGCACGGAATTTGTGTGGGATAGGGGCCCTACGAACTTTATCCAACTTAACCCTAGCGGCCTTGATCCTTTTCTTAAAGGTGGCCTTATGAACTCTTTTTGAATATGACATGTGAACTCCAAGGTCTTTGGCATGAAGTTTGATGGGTACCTCACCCTCGTCGATGTAAGTGCCCCTGAGTTCACGCCGGAGTTTGGCGGAAGTCGCCCAAAGCCAGCTTTTGGGTGGGGAGATTTGCATGCGGAGGGAGTGAACAAGTTTGACAACATGGTCAAGGCCGGCACGGAGCTCTCCTGAAGAGTCTGAGATCAAGGCCCAATTGTCGGCATAGCACGCAACATCACAGGCAGGTGAATTGGCTTGGAGGACGCAACCAACCCAATGGGCGATGGCGAGCATACAGGTAACGGCAAAAGCACAACCTTCAACCACGCCAGTGGTGGAGCCGGAAATGGGGCCGCAAGTGCGGTTGATCTCGAAAGTTCGTCTCATGCATTTCATCATGCTGCCGAAAGCGCGGAGGCATTTGTCGGGTACCCCCATCTTTTTGAGCAGTCTGAGGAGAGGACCTCTGGGTATCGTGTTATATAACATTTGACTAAATCAAGAACTGCACCGCATATGGGTTGCTCGGGCTTGCTCAACCTGCTTGGCGGTCCACATTGCAATCAAGTCAGCACCCACTCCCTTAGCGGGCCCCGCTATGGGGGTGGGGATGACCTTGATGAGCTGGGCTGTGACCTGTTCACTTCTGATTTTGGCCCAAAGGCGATAGACCCGACTAAGGACAGTAATGGGCCTAATATCAAGGGGTGATTGCGGCGCGTCACCCTTGTTTAGGCACATGGTCCTGGCGAGAGTCCAGATGCGTGGCCAATCATCACCCTTTTCAAAGGCGCTGTACAGCCGCGTGAGCATATAGAGGTTGTTGTCCGGCTGACGTCGGATGTCGAGGGTGGAAAAACCACAGACCCCTCTACCACTGGCAATGGCCGTGTGATGGATGGCACGCCGGACATCCGCGACACAGATGTCGGGTACATCAAATTGGGGGCAATCCGGTATTTCATTTAGGAGCGCAGCAGCGTCATTCCACTGAGGGTGTTCAAAATTGGCTGGGTCTCTCTGAAAAAAGGGGGCCCAAGCATCACGAGTCTTGGCATGCATGGCACTGGTGTCAATGGTGACACAGTGTTGTGTGATGGTGCGGACACGATTCCGCAGGCGAAGTGGCTTGTCAAGTACCACATATGATGCATGGGATTGGAGGACAGTGGCATCCTGACCTTGAAAACTAACAGGCGAGTTTTCCGTAAAATCGTGGCCTGCAGGCAGAGGGATGATGCACCTGCCACGCTTAGGCCACGCAACGTTTTTGACAATGGAAGTTTTGGTGTAGTGCACCTCGGAGAGGGGAGCAGCAGGGGCATCTCGGACCTCGCGGAAGGCTCGCTTAGCACCTTTTGCGACATCGGCAGCGATCTCCATCCGCTTGGTCGAAGCACGCTGGATGAATTTAATTTTTTCGGCACGGGTGTGGGCTTCATAGAAGCCATTGCATATATTTTTTACTGCACCACTGGCATGCGGGAGTTGCGGGTAGGGTAAGCCTAAGTGGGTGGCAACCCAAAAAGGGAACCCCTTATGGAAACCGGTGGCCGAAGTAATGGCCGCCCAGAGGTCGGCAATAGCACGGGAGGCACTTTCACTCGGTCGTTTCTCCCAAGCCTCAATTTGTCGAACGCAGGACTGGAGCCTGCGCAGTTGCCTAGTGTGCCGGCGGGACTCAACATCTGGCTGGTCCAGGAGTGGCTCAAAGTCACCATCCCTTGCAAGCCTAGCCAAAGGGGTTGTGGGAGGCTTAGGTTTCACAGGGAACTTGTCAGCACGGCCAAGGTGGTGGGGTTTGACAAAAATGCGATGGCCTTCAGCATCAACGGCACTCTCAGAGAGGGTTTGTTCCGCCACACGCGTCCAAATTTTGGCCGCTTTTTGGGTGTCGGCACAGGCAAGTGCATTTTCAAACTGTTCTGCAAAGCAAGACCATTTGGCGTCTGCGCACTTGTCAGCAAGTTGCTGGTCAATCAAGTATCGGTCGAAACTCGGAGGCAAGGTCCAAACTGGCACTGTGCTGAGAATGTTGCGTACGCGAAAAATAGCCGAAAGCAGCGGGTGGGCATCAAATTGAAAATTAGGCCGGGTTCGGCATTCAACAAGATGCGGCGCAAGGGCCGCGTTGGCCAGGATGTAGGAATACCGGGTGGCATCCTTGCATGTCGGTTCTAGGGAGTGTCCGTGCAACTGACCAGAGAGGGCGGCGCAATCCTTCCATCCCAAGGTTGCAAGGGCGTTCCATGTGGGGATGTCGTGAAGGTCACAATTGAAATCACCAATAGTAGCAACCGGACCGTTGTGGTTGATGGCCCTAAGGGCAGCAACATCAAATAAACGATTGGCGATGGCAAGGCCGTCAAAATGTGAGTGTCTGTTGAGAGTGGCTCCATAAATGCTAATGATCTTAATATGGTGATGCTGATCAAGGGCCACAAAGGCTTCGGCATACCGGTGAGAGTTCGCAATATCAGAGGGCAAGGGCTGCAATGCTCTCCAAATGGGGAAAGTGGTTACTATGGCACTCCCTCCAGCCATACCCCTCATTTTGGCACTGCTACGAGGAAAAGGTTGAACAGGAGGGGACCAAACAACATTGAAATCCTTAGCACGGAACCTAGAGGCAATGATGGATTGGGCTTCTGCCGTGGCGGCAGTTTCCGAAAAACCGTAGATCCCACGCCCCCAAAGGCAAACATCAGGCTCTTTGCCCAGCAAGGTGGTGGGGTTGGCCGTGCCAATGACAAGCCTATCTTGCTGTGAATCGGTAGGAAAGGGTCCAGGGTTGATGGCCTCACCAAAAGGCACAAATTCAAAGAAGGGGTCCGGTCGAAGAAAAGGGGCAACACCGCACCAAGGTGAGAAGTCCGTAAGGGGGAATAACCCGGGAAAACCCCAGCACAGAAAACCAGGTACGAGCACTAGCAGGCTCATTTTTCTTCGGACCGAAAGTTCCGGGTAGCTCCAGGCTGTTCTGGTCGGCCGGGTTCGGATAAAGGCGTGTGGTCTGCCCTTAGTGGCACGGCGTGGTAGCCACAGTGATGGATTGCAACGGGCAGCAAGGGTGTCACTCACAGCGTGGGCAAGGTTTCTGACACAGCTGGCTGCACAAATCATTATCGAGATGCAAGAACGAATTAAGGCTGGGAGATGGTAGCAACCAAGAGTGGACACACTTCGAGGAGGCAGGTCCACCATCCCAGCACATGCTGCTGGGCCACACACTGCCCTGCGTTTTCGCTTCCTGCGGTTTCGGCAGAAACGACAAGGTGCAAAGCCATACCTTCTCTTCCTCCTAGGAGTGCGACCACGAAAGGAGGTGCGGCAAACCACAAGAGAAGGTGGCAATGGACACAAAGCAGGGCGGAGGCCCAACATGATGCAGAAAAAAACAATAATTAGGGTAATACTCCGGGCTGAGAGCCCATAACGAATAGTATCCCACAAATGGGGGGGGATTGGAGTCCTTCGTACACTTGCAGGTGCCATCACGTAATATGATTTTGATGGGTGGCATGCAAGATATTGACTTCATGCAAAGGTTGCGCGTCACAAGAGTGACCCACTCGGTCATGCAGGCAGTGACGAGAACAGCCCAAGAGGCCGTGTCACAGTATATGCAGCGGCAAGCGTGCAGACAACACGACAAACAGCAAATTATTGCCCAGATCAAAGGGCATAGGCAGTTGGCTATGGTGGTGGTGGGACGGCACAAGGTCCCTAGTCACGACACTTTGCGGGCTTTGGCATGCGGGTCGGATTCGAGTTTGTCCAGGCGGGCACCCAGGTTTTCCTGCATGTTTTGGAACAGCTGGCTCATCTGCTGGAGCAGGCTCTGGCCGCTGGCCTGGACTGCTTGCTCAACCTCGGCGACCTTGGTATTGGTGTGAGTCTGTCTGTCACCGAGGGCACGGAATTCGGCGGCAGTGGCATCACGGATTCTGGAAGTCGGTTTTGGTTTCTTCGACCGACTTGGCAACGGTCTCGACTTCCTGCGCCTGCAACTGGAACTTCTCATCCACCATGGCTTGGAGTTGGTGAGCGAGCTCAGTCTTGAGGTCCGCGAACCTGGTCGTGGCTGTGGAGGCGGACGATCCAGCTTCGCTCGGTGGCTGCATAACAGTGCACTGGACGGCCGGTGGGCCGAGCTTGGGGATGAGTGTCGCAGGGCTTTTTCAACGACACAACCACAACAAAGCTACCATTGATGCACAGGTGACGGGCCGGTGGCGTGTGCTTGGCTGTGATGAGCCACGTTGACTGGTTGACAGGCCTCACAGCTTTGGCATTCCAGCCCAGTTGTGCGAGGGCAGCGGTCAGCGCTTCCGGGGTTGTGTGATCGGTAAGGTGCTTGAGATGAAAGGCCTCCGAGTCCGGCGGCATCTCACCTTCTGGGACGAACAGGCTTTCGGGGGTGAGGATTTTGCGCACCTTCTGAAGGTTCTCACGCCTGCAACGGAGGGCAAAATGCTGCGAGTGCTCAACGACACCAAGGATGTTGGGGTCACTGGTTGCTTTAGCAACGGCATCATCCAGGGAGGCAGTAGGGAGGGGAATGATGGCGAAGGCTTGGTGCGGCTTCTTGTCGTCTCCCTTTGGTGTGAGGAAGATGCCCGCATTTCCGGATCTGGCCAGCACGGGGTCAACAACGGTCATCGGGAGTCGGAAAAAGCCATGCAGGTATGCGGCTTTATCGTGGGGTGCTGGTTTACGGTCCTTGCTGAAGAACTTGGCACTCCAAGTGGCCATGACCTTGCCGTTCCTGAGTTCGGGCAGGTGAACACCCAGGTATTGCATATGATCAGCAACGTCTTTCCACTGAGCGGCAAGGTCACGCCTGACCCAGAACTCAACGACACAGGATGCAACGGCACCCATGGAGGTGGACGGCACATCCGCTGCAAACTTGATTTCAACATCACCAAAGTTCACAAGGCAGGTGGGAACGAGAACGGGTTGATCCTCGTGATTGAACGCAGGAGCCATGAACCCTGCAATTGGCTTGGTGTCAACGATTGCAATGGCCAGAGGGCCTGCGCTGATGCGGCTGGCAGGCAGGAAGGCTTCCGCTGCGGCCTTGGTCATGATGGCGAGGCCCTCCTGGTCAGGGCCGAATCTCTCAGGGGCAAGGTATGAGACCTTGGATCCTTCTGCTTTGAAGGACTGCAGGTCGATGGTGATGGTGGCCACATCAATGGCTCTGATGCTGTTAGCATGGGAGCTGCTGGACCCCTGGCTGGGGCCCTCGGACTGCTTGCGCTTGCGCAGGGTCTGCTGCCACTCCTTCAACTCGGTCGGTGTGATGAGACGGATCTTGGCGTCCGATGCAAGCTTTTTGAGCGAGGACCAGAAATCGTGGCTGGGCTCATGCAGGTGGGTGCGTAGGTGAGCCGGATCAACGTTGCTGAGGACACACGCAACACGGGCCGGCAAGGCAGGTTGAGGCACGCCACGGTCGGCAAGGGCCTTGGTCACGACCTTACGTATATCATCACTCTTGGGTGGTTGCTTGGCACCCCCTAATCCAGCACCTTCTCGGGTTGGGGGTCAATGCGCTTGCCGTCCTCCATGGTGAGGAAGGATTGGTTGGACGTGCATTTGAGGTACGATGCCGCTCCAATTTCCATGAGCGTAGTGCCTTGCTGGAAGGACATCTCACTGGCTTTGGATTGGAAGGGGCTCCGCACCCATCTTTTGACAAGGGTGGTGTCCTTGTCTGGAGCAGGATTGCCGACACAGGGGATGGCAATGATGGCAGCCCTTGGATAAGGCTTGTGTGATTGGAAGGTCAACTCACAGGTGGCACGCAGAGCCAAGGCAACGGGCAGCTCCGGATTGCACACAAAGCCGTTGACAACAGGCAGGATATCCATTGTTGCTGCGATGTCGGGCAGGAGAAGGCGGATGGCAACAGAGAGGTGCGTATCGTCACGCACAGCACAGGTCCTAACGGTAGTCCACACAGGGTGCCTGATTGCAAGGCGGATGTGTGCCTCACCAGCTGGCTTGGATGCGTCGGAGCAAATCGGTGGGAAAGGGAGCTGTGGCATGTTACACATCTGGACTGGAAGGGCAGGCAGTGGCATCTTGTTGCGCAACCAGCTGGCTGCAGAGGACCTTTGCTTCTCCTGCGACTAGCGCAAGAAGGTCTCCGACAGTCCATGTTGCATCAACCATGCAAATGCGTCCAGTGCCAAGGATATCAGCCGTAACGACCCTGGCAAACTCACGGAAACAGACACGGATGCAGAAACCCTTGGGGTCACTAGGCACCGAGTAAGCGATGGCTTTACTGCCGTTGACCTGGATGTCAGCGCAGTGCTCCGCAAGGATGTGTGGCAGGCTGATACGGAGCATGTCACAAACGGATGCACCGTTCCTAACCCACTGGGTAACCGCCCAAACGCCCTTATCATGTAGGATGCGGCACGGAAGAAGCGAGGGCTCAGGAATGGGCAAAGAGTCCCAGGAATCGACTTGCTGGGACACCGGGATCGTGTCAAACGTGATGTGACCAAACTTTGGCATATCAACAGCAAGATCTTTTCCACCACTGAGAGCAACACATCTGGGTGATGCTTTGGGCACCACACACTCACGCAATGGGTAGGCGATGCCCCAAGTGGTCTCGGGTTCACAGGCACGAGGCAGTGCGGCGGCTGAGGTCTTGCGCAGCTTACGTGGTGGTTCAGCAACATGGGGGGCCGCACTAGGCTTCACACACTTGTGGGTTGGTCCCTGGTGCAGCCGCAGGGGCTGGTGCACGGACGGGTCACCATGGCATGCTTCACGTTCGGTGTGCAGGGCCACATGCACTGGTGTCGGGGAGTCACAAGGCTCAATGGGGTCACTGGCTGCGGATGGCCTGGGGACAACACTGCTACGGACATGCTGCAGTGGGGTCTGCAAGGCACACGTATCAGGAGCGCACATAGGCCCCTGCTGATCAGGTCCGGGGAAAATGCTGGCAGGGAGTGAGGTGCTGGTGCAACTGTTGGATGTGGTTGGGAGAGGCTGGCTGTGGGAGCACAGTACGGCACCAGGATGCAACTGGGACGTCGCTTGAACGCACGGTGTCGGCTCCGTATTCTCCTGGACATCGGCATCCAGGAATCTTTGCCTAGAGGCTGCGAGTGCAAGCTGTCTGAGACTGTCGATATCCCTGATGGTGTATGTACATCCCTGGGTCACGCAGATGGCCCTTGAGGCCCTGATCTTCTTGGCGCAAACCAACTCAATGATACTGGCCAACTCCGTGTCAGGTGCAAACGGGGAAGCGTGGCTGAGGATGACATGGGTCCTACAAATCTGCAGTGCTGCATGGGGAATGGTGATGCAGTTCCCAAGGATTTTCCAAGCCTCATCGTGGTCACAGGGAAGGACAAGGTCAAAGGGCTGGGCGAGGCATGCAGCGAGTTCTGTCGGGCTGCTGCAGGCATCCAGGGATTGGTCGAACCACAATGGTGTATGGAGACCCTTTTCACACAGGAGGCTGGGAGGGAGCCGATGCTGTCCACCATATGACGCCATGATCGATGGCATGTGCTGGTCTGGGCCAATAGCACGCGCTCGGACTGCACTATCCGCTTTGCCCACAGCAATGGCCTTCTTGGCCCAAGAGGGCAACATGCGTGGGTCGGACAGCTTGTGAACAGCATCCGATTCCGGAAGAAATGCTGCGGCGTGCTTGGGCAAGTATTTGCAAATCACGTCCTCACTTGCAAGGGTGGCTTTGTACAACGGCATGCACGGGCGGCAAATGGCGAGTTTGGCCGCCTGCTGGACTCTATGCGGGTCGATCTCGACATCTCGGCGCACAAATGTGGCAAGCCAGCGATTGCGGTTCACAGGAGCAACCGCCAGGCACTCAGCAGTGCCCTGATGCACGAGGGCAAACCCACATTCTTGCGCAAACCGGATGACACGGTCGTAGTGTGGGTGGCTGTGGAAACCCGCAACGTTTTCTATGGTGATGGAAGTGGCGTTGATGCACTGGCCCATTTTGAAAGTACCAGTGAACGACAAACCATCAGGCGAATGCAACCCGCGCTGGCGGGCGGCCCCAGACCACGGTTGGCATGGGGGGCTGCAGAGCCAGTCAGTGACCCCAGCCATGCCAGCAACAGCCCACATCATTGGGTCACACATGTCTGCCACGAGGGTGCAGCTGGGCACAGGCAGACCTCGTTGGAGCAGCTGGACCACCTCATCCAAGGACAAGCACTTGACCTTGTGATTGATAGCACAAATCTGGGCAACCTCGGGGCAGTGCTCCACGTGAAGCGCAACCTTGGTATTGACATAGGCAGCGGCCCGGGTCCAACCACCTATTCCAGCAAACCCTTCAGCGACGACACGCTGCCCGCACGGGTAGGGCTGGGGGATGCAAATGCACCTCCCTGTCTGCGAGACAGAGAGCACACTCCTATGGGCCATGTTGCACACGTTGGGGTTCAACAGGCAAACACCTTGTTCCACCGCCAGCTTCCAAGAGACCCAAGTGGGAACCTCCACATAGATCTCCTTGAGCTCGCCGCACGTCAATGCTTTCCAGGTGACCGTGCAACTCCCGGAGTCGTGCACGCCCTTGAGGGTGAGGAAAACAAACGCATCCATGGGACTCTGTCGCGCCTAGGCACCACTGGGAGGTGTCCCTTCAGCCGAAATACTGTGGATGGACGAAATCCTGCACCATCTAAGAGACCCTGGAATGATGATTCCCCCCGTGAACACCAACAAATCGCTGTTGTCCATAGAGTCAAAGTGCTGCAGGATTTCGCCCAGCCACAGTACGGTCGAGAGGTGTGAAGAGCCTTTTATTCAGCATAAGCTGCTCGCAGGAACGTGTGCACATCGGCACCAGTTGGTAGGTGATTGATCCCTGTTGTCATAGGGTTTCATCCATCCCAAATGATCCCACACAAAGCTCTATGATCATGACGTATGGTCGTTCAACACAACCCCACTACCCCAATCTGAAGCTTTAGATCCTTAAAGCAGTTTTCAAGGCTGGTCCAGACAATCATGTCCCCTAGGAGGCTGGAAAGGGAGAAACCTGCTCAGCAAAAAGAAATCAGGCAAACAACCAGCAAAAACACTGGGTGGGCTGAGCAGAGTTGTGAGTTGGCGGGACTGGTCTCTCTTCAAGCGAGATCTGTTCCCAGCGGTATCACAAAAGTGGATCACATGTCCCACAAACACAAATTGGTCAGCCAACTGCAAGCTGTGGCTTATTTGACTTGATGCAGGAACTTGGTCAAAGACCCCAAAACATGAGGTTCGGCCTGCATTCTGCGGATGTTCCGCGATTCCCGGCTTCTTGTCCTATGTTGATGCCACGAATGGTTGCTAGTCGTTCCAACGAACAACCTGCTAGGGGTCTTGCAAACCAAATGGATGGATTCTTCTCGTTGCCCGTCCTCAGAGACCACCATTGCAAGGAGACTGAAGCATCCCTTTTTTTGGAACCTGTTCCACGGGCCCCGTGACGCAAGCGTGGAGGCCGGAAGGAAGAAGGCCAAAGGCGTCACCGTTCGAGCCTTTAGGGACTTAGGGTAGCCCGAAAAAAGGAGTAAATGAGAGTCAAACAAACCCCAACCAAGACTGAAACGCCAGTGTGTGGAAGAAATCAGTTGAAAATGGGGATGGAGAACATAGAATCGAGTAGCCCTGTGCTCGTGCCATGAACTTCTGCAAGGGGGATGAGTGAACTGTCCAGTAATAAGCTTTGGTCGCTTAACGGGGAGGGGTGCCACACCCCAACCCTTTCAACCTGCTGGGTTCTAGTCAAATTTGTCGACGTTCTTGAGGCTTGCTGTCGCCTACTTCGAGTTCTTGGAAAACCTGGCCCCCATCTCTCTGGCTGGACTGTGCCAAAGGTAGCCCTGAGTTGTGGTCACGGAAGCACGGAACGTAGAGCCACCGTGGAGCACCCCAAATTCACAGCTTAAGGATCCCCAAACTCGGGAATGAATGCTATGCTGGTTCTGCAATACAATGTAATGGTTGTTTGCATAGTGAGGGGTGGTGGCTTTGGGGTTCACTGATTTGCCCAAACACTGCAACAGGCATGTCCCGAGTTGAACGTGGGCAAAGCCACAGGTTTGCAACTTGACCTCCCCATCCCCCCCCGCCGCCGACAAGCAAACGCCTGAAGTGTTGCTGTCACACACATCAATGAAGGTATTCCTCACGACGATTCCTTGGCCACAGGGTCTGACTTTGAGAACGGGGACGATGATCCGATGTGTCCGACCCTCCAAGCGTTTGGCACGTTTCAAGTTCCCATTTGGTGTCCGGAAAAGGACTCTGAGTTTCGACACTCTGGGAGCAGTCAGAAACATGGGCCATCCCAGGTACGAAGTATGGGAACGCACAATGCCGCTGGCCAACAGATCAGGGCGCGGCCGCGGAAAGCGTATCCTTCTGTGATACCAGAGTGGGATTCCCATCATGACTACGCTATCGCAGTAGATTCGATTCCCTTGGCTTCACAGAAAGTGCCCCTTTCAGCGCAACCACAGAAAGGAGCCTGCGGAACCTTTCATCAAAAAGAAGAAACCCTGGGTGTGATATGAACGCTCTGCTAGCAAGCTGGTGTACAAGGTATGAGTCAAAATACGGGAACCGCAAAAAGTGGATGTTGGTTTCCCTTTTGGTTTCCTGGAGGCCCAAGATCAATGACTTGGGTCGGCGATTAAAAATTCTCAGAGGAAGACCGCCATGGCCCCATTTGACATGAATGGGGATGTCTGGCTGCTTCTCGGACACATACAAGTCCAAACCAACTAGTCACGTCGCAACCATCATTTGTTACAGCCCTCCATGACCAGACCCACAAAGAAGCAGTCATTTAGGGGTATCTGCTTCAGACACCTCCGCAAACAATGTAATTTTACAACGGGCATGCGCTGAACGCAAAACAAGACGTATCTCCGATGGAAGGATGGAAGGAAGGAAAGGAAAGGAAAGGAAAGGAAAGGATTGGAAAGGGAAGGGAAGGCAAGGGAAGGGAAGGGAAGGGAAGGGAAGGGAAGGGAAGGAAAAAAGGAAGAAAGCAAGCAAAAACAAGGAAGGAACAACAAGGAAGGAACAACAGGAAGAAAGGAAAGAAGAAAAGAAAGAAAGAACCAAGGAAAGAAAGTTTTCCCAAAAGTTTCAAAAGTCACCGAGGCCCGGGCTGGACGGGGACTCGGGCACCATGCTGTCGGGGGAGTCCGGGCTGCTCACCGTGCTGGGAGACTCCGGCGAGTGCGCGACCTGGCGGGGTCAAACGGCGTCCTTGGTCGCTTTGAGTCGAGGCACCCACCCACCCACCCACCCACCCACCCACCCACCCACCCACCAACCAACCAACCAACCAACCAACCAACCAACCAACCAACCAACCAACCAAGCAGCCAACTTCTGCTACACCAGGGAACCTAAGCCTTTAAGTAGAGAATTGGTCAGTTGGATCGTCTTCCATCGGCAGAAGTGAGCCATTCCCAGAGTTTGAGCGGTTGTTTGCCCATGTTTGGTGGATTTTGACCTGGAAGCCCCGGAAAACCATCTTTCGCGGGGATTCCAAAAACTCATGGTGAAGTTTGAGTGGGGGTGTGAGTCGTTGGTTGTCTTCTCTATGAATCACATCAACATTTCTAACCCAACAAAGGAGGCAAGAGTTACCCAACCGAAGGACACCAAACCCCTTCCCAGGCCCCTCTTCAAGCGCCTTCGATTCTTTAAGTCCCAACCTGCTTGAACATGGCAATGCGCCCAGCTCAAAGATCAGTGTGAGGATGTAAGGCATACTCAAAATCCGGTATCAGAGGAGTCTACCCGAATCAGAAGGTAAAGAGCGGAAATCTTGCCCACGTCTAGACATGGATACAAGGGGTCTTGGCAGCCGCTAAGGGGCACCAAGATAAACCGAGCTCCTAATTTCCGAAGAAACCCCTCGAAAGGCACAATTTCCGGGGAGCATCTGCCGCCTGCCCAAGCCTAAAACAGGACCCAACCACGCCCTGAAACCCGCCCGAAGTCAAGTGCATAGCAGCACAGCCAAGAGGAAGCTCGGTTCACCAGGCACTCCCCTGCCCTCTTCGGACACTGCATTACGTTCAGCGCTGAGATCCTCGGGTTCAATTGAAGCCCCTGTCCAGTTTGATATCACGTATAGTCCATATAGCCAAGCCCAACTCTGGCGCAGATGTTTAGATTCTGTTTCATCTTTGGGCGCGTATCGTTCACCTTGGTTAAAGGGGAAACCAGAAAGGAAGATCGCAATTTTTAGGGCCCTTTCTTTTTATGATACTCCCTTTTAGTGGATCCTATGCTTAGATTTTCTGGTTTCGAGGACAACATGACGTCCATTTCCGCTTCTCCGCTTCCCACGCGGGAAGGGCCTGGTGGTGCAGGCGCACCGGCACGGCCACAGGGGCAGGCCTGCGCACCTCAGGAGTCGCTGGAGCCTCTTCCCTGCGCAGCCCCCCTCAAAAATCACTAAACCCTGTCTAAAGAACCGAAAGGGGGATCCCTCAAAAGCGACGCAGCCATATTTGGGTGATGTTGAAAGCGAAAATCAGATTTCCCTTTCAACATCACACCAAACAAAAGAAGCTTGCTTGAAATTGGCCCGGAAACTGACGCTCAAACCACGCAAAAGGGGAACATGGAAAATATCAGCTGCTCTTTCCAGCTGCTCAAGTCACAGGGGGAGACACCCACCAATTTGGGGGATCCCCTAAAGATTACTCACCCAGAAGGTTCCGGATCTGACATTTCCAAAAGGGGCCTTTGGTTTCACTCATTCCTTTGCGGGTGTGTCTCAAAATAGGATTTGAACCAGCCAAAGGGCACCTCCTCTGCAAGCACCCCTTCGTAGTTGGTTCTTGAGGGAAAGCCCTCCAACAAACCACAAAAACAGAACAAGTCTGCAGGTGTGGGGTTCGGAAGCTGTCCATCGAATGCGCAAAGGCACAGGTGTGTGCACATGGGGAAAAATGGAAGGGGTCCTTTGAGCGTCACTTTAAGCCAACCCAAAAAAGGGTCCCTAAACAAGAGACAAACCAACAGGGGAGCCTGGACAGAACAACCTGTGACAACCTGTGTGCCAAAACCAGCAGGCACACGGAGCAAGGGAAAGCCTTGACACAAGTGCTGGATGTGTCAATGAAATCTGGCGGTCCTCCACAAGAATTAATCAACCCGAGGATTATGAATCCTGGGGTTCCATAGCAATCGCTTGACTTTGTGGGTTGCGGAACCCTGTAGAGGGGGAGTCCATATGGCAGGCAGAAAGAGAAACCCATTCTCCGCTCAAACCGCCCATCGGACGTGTGCATGAACACCTCCCTCCCCTTCCAAAACGAACCAGGCGGTGTTCCGATTTCGGAGTCCGTGCGCAAACCTATCGTTCATCCTTGGCAAGATAACCCATTTCTCACTTCCTGAGTGGATTCGCCAAAACAGCCAATAAACTGTCTTCCCAGCAAGGTACAGAAACTTCTGACGACATGTTCTCCGCTTTTCGCCACACGCACCGTCACCGGGCCGTCCGCCCAACTGGGCGCCCCAGCATTCAGGCGCCCCGTGGCCTCATTGGTCGGGCTGTCGTTTTCTGCCATGGCCCCCGGGCCCAAAGGACGCAGAATCGCGCGACCCAGGTCGAAAAAGGGGCCTAAGCCTAAGCTGAGCCAAAGGTCAGCAGCACGGACCCGGATCAGACAGGGAGCGCATATAACATCTCGCAGGAACGAGCGTGGACAAACGCTGGGAGGCTGGTGTGGGGTCACACCAGAAATTGCATGTCTCAAAGGGACAAATTGTGGCGCCCAAAAGAAGTTGCCCCACTCGTCTGACAAAGGAACCGCTACAACCACCCTTGCCTTTGTCCAAACCACAATCCTGCTGTGAACCTCAAAATGTAAAACATGTTCAAGAGAGATCCCAGACAAGCTTTTCGCTGCGAATGCAGCTGGTCAGCTAGTGCATGCGACATACATGTGCAACGTGAATGCAAGACCTGCAGCATCGGGTGAAAGTGGGTACATTATCGATCTGAATGTCGACCAGATGGGCAAGAAAGCTGGAAACCGCTGTGCGTAACCTTTGAACTGAAGCCAAAGGGCAACACAAATTCTTAGTTACACCCCCCCCCCCCGCGCGCCCCTCAACTTGTTGACTTACCAAGTTGACAGTTTGCGCTCGCGGACCGCAAGGGTGCTTTTGGGCCCTCCCAGAATTCTGTGGGGGTTCTCCATTGCTCTCAAGCCCCTGGATAGGGCCAATATATTTTTTGGGGGAAACCTCTATGGATTTGTCTCAAAATCAGGAAATCCCACAAAATCTGCGGTGCTTCTGTTGGTTTCCCTTTTATCCCTTTCGAAAACATACACATGTGAATGACCAAGACTCTCCCACCAATGCGGAAGCTTTCCCTACCAGTTCCAAGAGGACAATCAATCGCTGTCCAAAAGGAGTCAAACGCACACTTCCCCAAGGTTCCTTAAGGTAGATCCAAAGCTGACCTGCTTTACAAGGAGATCCTCTAAATCAGTTGGTAACAGTGTTCTTGTGGCTGGCCCAAATGTATGGTCCAAGTGGTAGGAGAGTCTTTCCTCCTATAGCTTCAATCTACAAAGAAAACCACATGTTCCATCAACCATTTGGGTGGTCCTGGTCTCTGGCAGGACTGGTCCAACGCTGGGTTTCAACATGCTCAGACAACTACTCCTTTGGGTCCTTCTCATTTGCCTCCCTGGCGTCGACACCTTCCGCACGCACGAGGTGCCGTATTTTCGCCATTCCCCGCAGACCGCATCTTGGCTTTGGCAGCGCGGGACCTGGACATGGATTCGCGGTTGCCGGCGGTCCTGACATACGGGTTCTCCTCTTTTTGGAAACCAGCAAACGGGCAAACCAGAAAAATAGATCGAAAGCCTTGCTTTGAGCCATTTGTTTGCGTTTACAGGGAAACCGAGAGGGCGCAAATGCCTGAAGCCCTCTTTTGGTTGGTTTGAAAGGGGAGCTAAAGGAAAAACCCTTGCCATCTTGAGAATTCCCTCATCCCTGCCAACATGGAGCCCAAAAAAACACTCCGGCACGCTTTTCAGCAGCCGTTGGTATGCTTTTCAACAGAAGTGCGTTTCAGCCGTTGGCAAACCTGGGTTTCGGAGAGCTGCCAGCTGCTGTGAACTGGTTCGCCATCACCAAAGACCTGTTCGTTTCCAACCCCAAACCTCTTGCTTGACCCCAATCATTTCCAGGCCAGGGTCGGAAACCAGTAACCCTTCAGCTCCCAAGCGTCCCATGTCCGTGCCTGGAAAACTAACCGCTCCTCGTCACCGTGAGCACGCCCCTGTGAGTATCTACCTGAGATGCCAGCGTGCCAACCGGTCCAACCATATCTCCACCTTTGAGGTTCCAGCTTTTGCTGGGGGTCAAAGATCAACCTAGAAGCTGGTTGGCTGTTTGTCATGAGTCACTAGCCAACTGCCCGATACTAGGACAGTGCTTGGAACCTGCTGAGAAGGGGTTCTGAGGGTTCCTGGGCTCCTAACATCTCTCCAGATTTCAGCATCATCTTCTTTCGGGAACCCGCCGAACCCCAACAGCCCACCGAAGCTGGTGGCACCAATCGAGGTTCATCATAATAAGCAACATGAGCCAAGGGTGTTTCAGAGGGCAAAGCTCCCGGTTCTACGTCGAATGATTCTGTTGGAAGCCGAATCAACCCAAGATGTGTGTGTGTGTGTGTGCTAAGTGTTTGCACCAAAAGGAAACAACTGGCGACATTGGGGCCATCGAGAGTGGTTCGGCACTAGTGGGAACCCATGATTCGAAAACACCCCCTATGAATCCGCCAGATTGATTCAACCGCGCTTGAACTTTCGATTTTCTTCAAGGCCGTCCTGGCTTTCTGCTTGCTTTCCGGCCCAAGACCTTGTTTGGTGAGAGCTTACCATTGAGGTGTGCTTGGAGAAACCAAAAGGAATACCATATCTTCCCAGGATACCCTAGGTTGGTTACGGAAAGGAAAACCATCTGAAACCCACCTTCTTGGGGGGTCCGAAACCCCAGCTTTGCCACATCTCCTGCACTGAGAGCCCCAGCCGAGACAAGACGCACCTGGAGCTGCTGCCCGCTCCTCGGCGCTACACCCTGGGATTGCACCTTTAAGAAATGACCCAGAATGGTTCTATCCGGAAATGAGCCTACATGGGGTCAACCCAGTGAGTGTATTTCAAGGGTGCAATACAAACACTTGCCAGGGTTCCAATTTGGGTCTCTATTTTTGAAATGCGCGCCCGGGGCGGGATGATGTTGGTGATGCTGATGATGCATCAATATGGCAAACATGGTAATGCAAGTGATGCAGGCGATGCTGGTGATGCCGGCTGCATCACCTGCATCAGCTTTGCTTTGCCATGCCTAAAAAATGCCCAAAGCGACGAATACGGCAACCTAATATACAATAATAACCCACTTGCCACCAAAAGAAAGTTGCACAAGGCATCCAAAAGGTTTGCAGGGCCTCTTTTGAACCCGGTGCCACCTTGTGCACGCTTTCCCGTCATGGAAGTGGACGGAGGTGTGTTTGGAAGATGGGCCCCTTGGCGCAAACCAACACCGATTGTGAGACAACTCTCGAAGGAGACCACAAAGGGGACCTTAAAATTTGGACGGTTGGAGACAAAGAGGAACGCCTATTTGTGTTTGACAAGCTTTATACGGGGACAAGTCCTGTGTCCGCGGAGATCCGTCTTCCCACATCCGCGCCTGAGATCCTCCGCGGGGCCCAGCAGCAGGCCCTGGCCAGGCCTCGGTTTTCGGCTTGGTCGAGAAGCGGGCGACATTTTGCCCCGAAAAGAAAATGACTGGCGCTCGGAAACCTCGTATTTGTTCTTCCCTCGCACGATGCTCATCCACACAGGTCATTGGGGTCAAGTCAGAAACCTGCTATTTGCTATGTGCTCCGTCACTCGTTCGCGTGGTAAAATGCCCATCCATTTCCTCGTTTGCGATCTATCCCGGAAGACCCGACCACATACCCTGGTATTGTCCATGGCTCAAAGCAGAAACGGTCTATAGCGTGACTCAGCGAATGGTTTAAGTAACAAGTTGGCATCGTCTGGGATATTTCCATATTGGCGAATGATGTCGCCTATACTTGGCCCACATCTGAGGTACTGATGAGCCCCTGGGCTGCAGGCAATGACCACCTCAAAACAACAACAAGGGCCCAAAGACTATCCCCAAAAAGAGGCGATTCCCTTGTATCACAGTGGTGAGATAAACCCCGAGTGATCAACCACAACCCTGGGCCCCGGAAGCGCTCGGTGCCCTGCTCGCCGCCGTCGGGGTGGCCCACACTGAGCAAAGTGCCGAAGGGCGTCTCCCCGTGCACCTCGAGATCAAGGCCGGGATAGGGGAAAACGAGGGTTTTGTCCAATCCTCGTTCGTTGCTTTCAGCTCCAAGAAACAGGGCTAGGAAGTCGCAAAAACTGGGTCCCCTTACCTTTTGCCACTTGTTGACTGTTTTTGGGAGAAGTCTGGCATTCCAAGAGGACGTCTACACTGCTGACAGCTGTCCATGTGTGTTGTCCAATAAGGTGGTCTTAGAAGGACAACCCTGCATCGTGTTTCGTCCTGGTCTATACATCAGCTCGTGCTGCCAAACAAGAATATCAGCTGCAGAAGCACGAAACTGCACTTAGCCCAAGCCCAAACAGAAAAAAGAAATAACACAAGTGCCATGGTCAAAACTCATAGTCAAAACTCCTATATACTGGTTGCCTAAATCCCCCGATTGAAAGGTCCATGACCATCCCAACCAACCCTGAGTAGAGGGCTCGGTTGGTCAAGTCTCACATAGTTTGAAGAGGTGAGCCCATCGCGCTTGCCGAGAGCTTCACAGTAATTTTCGTGGCTTAAATGATTTAGGCCCCCACAGGACAAAAAACGTGAGGTCAGAAGTAAACAAAGTCAATCACTCCCGAACACAGCCACTTGTGCAAGAGTAATTTTATTATCCATGGCATGGAAGTCAATTCAAGCAAGGCATGACATGCCATCTTAGAATTGCGAAGAACATCTTGCAGCATGAGACATTCTACATCGGCAACCGCAACCCTCCCGGGACTCCGATGGGAATATTGCTCTCACAAGAAATCGAGGCTTTAACACACGCGCTCGGATTGTTGCACTTTTCTCCAGTCAAATGTGAGATGTAACACCTCACTCTACCCCAGTCGCTCAGAAGCCCAAGCCTCCAAAACCCCATTGCATTGCACCCTTTAGGACCTGGGAAGCGGATTCATTCCACATCAATATGGCTGCATCTGCCAAGGGGTCTTCAAAAGTGTTCCCGGAGCCCCCCAAAGATGCACTTGATTCCCTCAAATTGCAAGTCAACCAATCACATCCGACAAAGCCTCGGGTACTGTTGCAGTAAATTACAGGATGTGTTGTTTCTTACTTCCGATGGTGTACACAGCGCCCATACAAAAAGAATCAAAGGAATGTCCTTAGGGAAGCCTGACATTCATTTCTGAGAAAGGCGATCTCCTTTCGGGGCTTGGAGACCAGCTTTTTGTTGGTTCCGGTAATTTGGAGGGGTTGCACCGATCCAGGTATGAACCCCTTGTTGATGGTTTTAACCACAACTCCTTGGGTGATCGGCCACGGTATTTAGCTACTCGTAGTCCAGGTCTAGGTCATAATCCGAGACCCGAGCTAACTGCACTTAGAAAGTTGGTCGAACACCCAAGTATGCCTTCATGGACCCACAACTGGGCTCTCATGGGTTCACATGAGTTGCAAACAAATATCCTTGGTTTTCCCAAGAGGACAGGGGAAAGGTGAGTAGACTACTAATAGTTTTTGCCAGTTGCCAACAGTTGGGCTCGTCAGCGTTTGGGCAGGGTGTGATGGCTTCCACGCCTCCGCTGGCAGCGGGCGATTGGGCGAGACCCCCAGGAAGTCCCGGAGTCGCTGACGCAGGGCCTCAGGTTCATAAGCCGAGGCCAGGTACCCCATCTGGGTGTGGCTCTGTTCTTTTTTAGAAGATATCCGCGCACCTCTTAAGCTGAGCACGTCCCCTTGCCCAGCTGAGTCCGCCTCTGGCCTCTGGCATTCCCGGAGGAACACCCTCCCAGCATATCCAAGCATTATGATACGTCAGTGTTGTAGACATGCTAGGGGTACTTTAGGAATGTTTGGACTTAGCAAATTTGGGTTCAAACCTTTGCAATGGTCCATCTCTGACGTCACAAGCTGCCCATCTTCTTTTTTAGACAGACGTTCTCCACCTGACCTTTCTCAACCGCAAACACTGGGTCCGGGAAAACCGTCTCCACTGGAGAAGTTGGATGCTGACACATCTGCAACAATTGGCCACGTGCCAGACACCTCTACAAACTGTACTCATCGGCACAGAGTCTAAAGGTTCCGCACTGCCAACTTCAGCAGTTCCGAAGTTTGCAGTCGCTACTTTCACCCAACTGTCTCTCTCTCTCTCTCTCTCTCTCTCTCTTTCTGGAATCCCCACTTTGGCCCCCCTACCCGGATCTGCAGGTCCTGCTCGCTCGCCTCCTGTCTAGGGCGCTGTTCGCCGGGTGGAACGGACCCTTTTCAGTAAATACGCTTTGCTATGTTCTATACCATAAAAACTGGTTCGACAAAAATGTATATGGTTTCTCCAAAATTTGTTAGCATGCTACGAGTGGCAATCCAAGGGTCTTGGTTTGTTAGACCCTCGCTTGACAGAAGCAAGCCGCAGTGCAATGGCAATGATACCTCTGAATGCCTTCGAAGGGAGATATTGTCGAATTCCACGCTGCAAAAAAAAAAGCAATGTTGCATCGGTGTTGCTTTTCTGCACAACAACTTAGATGGCCGAGAAACTGGTAAGCCCTCAGGTAACCTGTCAATCCTGCAAATCCTTGGAACTAGGTTAACTTGGATCACCCCTGGGCCAGAACATCCCGCCTAACCCATATTTTTCACCGGCGAGCACCGCTTCCCAAAGGCCAGCCTCCTCCGTCTCGTCCCATGGCTCGGACACTTCCGGCGCCTTACGTCGGGCCAGCGTCGGGGGAAGCTCCACTTCAGGAGTCGACATGGGAAAGCCAAAAGCCAGGGGACTCCTTTTTCGGTTGGTTGTAAAGGAACAGCGCAAGGAATTCTGCCATCGGGTTCATCTATTTTGAGACGTGCCAAATCATATCCCTTTGAACTCATGTTCACAGCGTATAGCCCAGGAGACAATCTCTCGCTGGCAGGGACTTGCTTCATAAGCCCTTGTGTGACTTGCATTGCAAGCCTTGCTTGACAAGATCAGCACTTGGGTTCGTCTCTCAATACGGGAACCTGCAAAGCGTAACACCCGTTGAAGAGACGCGCTCGAACCAACGTGTCCACAAAAAAATGTGGATTTCTCTTTGCTTCCCATTCAGCACCATCCAAAAAGGGTCCTTTGTCCGATTTCAGAACACGCCCACCTGGGCATGAATTCAATTCGGGACCTTCTTGGTGAACGTTGTTGACATGGTTGGATTTGTGTCCTTTCCCAAGCCTTTGTGAGCAGGTGTTCCACCAACTCGTAAACCTCATTTTCTTCCACCCCCTATTGGGGGATTACGGGGGAGAGGTTGGAGGGTATTCCAAGCTCCTCATTCCAGTTCTGCAAAAGATACATCCCATATCACATGTTTCGCAAGGGGAGGGATCCAAATCAACTGGTATATAAAGATGTCTCTCATCATGGCTCATGCGTATGGTTTAGGCAGCCCTGCTCAACAGGTGACGTGCAAAGCTGCCGTTTTCTGGGAAGACATAGGAAATCCAACTGGCCGGTGCCGCAAGATGCCAGGGCTTCCGCCGCCGGCTTCATGGTCAGCGCCAGCAGGCCTGCGCTTCGGTTTCGGCATGGCGCTCCGCCCCCGGCCCGCAAGCCGCGGACTCCCCAAGTCCAACAAGTGGCACCAAACAGCAAAAGGCACGGGGTGGTGACGAAAACCTGTTGAGCCATATTCAACACTCATTATATGGCTCCCTCAAGAGGAATGACCACCCCAGGTAGAGTGGTCTTTGACCACGGCACATTTGGTTCGGGTTTTAGAACCACCAACACAGGTCAACCCTTCTGCCTCAGAGAATCTCAGCTGCGCGGCACCGCGGCGCCTTCCTCCATCTCGCCCATGGACCGCACCCGCACGACGTCCCCCGGCACCTCAAGTCACTGTTGCTTAAGCGATCTTAAGGGTGGTCTTCCAAAATGGCATCCGAAAAGGACAACCCTGATTTCAAGGGAGAGAATCCCAAGTCTCAGGAAACACCCTTGCACATCTACTTCCATTGGCGGATGTAGTGCAAGAAGCACACATATTCTGCCCAGTCATCGCCATTTACATTTCAAACCAACAGATGGAAGCAAACTTTGGATTTTGTGGGGCGGGGCTTGGGGAGTTCAGCATGGACATACAACTTTGCCGGGAAACTTGATGTTTATTGGAAAAACCAGCACACATGAGGTCCGGTACAAAGCCCCCCCGAAACGGGGTGGATACCTCGCAACAAAAAGGGAAACAACAACAATAACAGGGATGGTAAAGGCTAGGATCCTCGCATAAGGTTGGGTTGGGACCATCCCCAAGAAAATTCCTAGAGTCCTCAGACCTCAACACTTGCCAGACACGAACTAAACCAGCGCTCTGCTCTATGTTGATCAAGGTGCCTGTCCCGATCATGAAGGCTGTGTGGTAAACTGACCTGCAAATACGGATCAAAGAAACCCAATCGCTGTCGCACAACAAACCGCCCTGTCACCCAGGAAGTTTGGACTCATGCAGCTCCTTTGGAACAACTCCAACTGAAAGTCAGTGCACGCTGGCGCAGCTGAAATTCACTAAACCTCATCAAGTCCGGTCCCTCCCTTCGGCATCCCCACGTAGCTGGAGCGGGCATCCTGGCGGACCGTTGCGACCGACAAGCTATGCCAAGCATGGTCCGCCGGCCACATGTAACAAAAGCTGCCGACCCGAGCGCAGCCCTTGACATCATGCCTGGACGTTACGCCCAACCAGTCGCTGATTGGATTCATATGTCTATTGCCAAATGTGAAAGCCCCGGGTTCTCGGAACCTTGCACGACCCCATCCACGGCTTCCACCGACATGGCCCGACCCCTCGGAACAGAATGGGACATTGGCCTCAATGTATGGGTGCAGTTCCCATAGTTCAGGGCAGACCTGCGACTTTCAGGAAAACCCGTCTGTTCGTTTCCAACCTATTTGTTTCTCTCAACGGCTCGGGCACGACATTCGCAAGAAATCTTTCTTGCCCCCCCCCCTCCCTTGGCGCCTCCAGGTACTCCTCCAGCTCCGTGGCGTAGATCAGACCTTCACCCGAAGAGGTCCGCACCCGCAGCCCGTAGTCCAAGGCCTCAAAGCGGCGAGTCCCGAGGCGACGCGCAGAAGGGAGGGCCCCATTTTCGGAAGGAAAGACGGCAGAATCCAGGGGAAGATGGCAGAATGTAGGGGTTGGACAAAAATGAAACGCTGTTTGAAACAGAACCGTTCTTGCCTGGGATCAAACCAAAACCAAGGGAGCGTGGCAAAGGACAAACTGGAGAGAAACAGCTGGGATCACTCTCACAATCTCTTAGTTGTTGAGCACCATGTTTTGCATTCGTGATCTGCACATCAACTCAAGCTGCGCCGTCAACAGTACAAATATCGTCTTCCACAAGAACCACTTGCCCAACAAAATGCGCCAGCCAGCCTCTTCATCCCTAACTTAACCCCGTGTTCGCCTCAAAACGCCCCGGTTTGCTACATCGTCACATGTTCTGAAATTGACCCCGCCTGACAGATCAATAGGTGCTTCCCCGCAAAAGCGAAGGCACCGCTCCAAAAAGGGACGAACCTTCCCGTGTAGCCTCTAAATGTGGTTCCTTCAGCAGCTGGCATCTCCTTACCCAGGTGCCTCCTCCACCGTGCCCTCCAGCCAGCCACCTGGCGCCTCAGAGCCAATCCAGAGCAAATCCTTTGCTTTGGACATGCTCCCAATCCCACACCTCATGCAAGCAGGAAGATGCTCATCCTTGATCCAGAGGGGACCCATGAAAGCCCTTGTGACTTTCCACGCTGGGTGTCGCGGGAACCGTTCGGGCTGTATGCATAAAATGATGTTGTTTACACTCGTCCACGTGCACGGACCTCAATCAGACCCTACCATCCCTGCACCCCATGAGACGTGTCACGCTGGCAGAGCCCCTCATCCCACAACTTGCTCAGGCGTCTTACTGATGATACCAACGTAAAACCGGAATCCTTAGCAGGGATGCGCGGCATGGCCAAAACTGTGCTTGATGAGGATCCTGACAACCATCTCAAGGTTGACAACCATGCCCACTGACCACAAGGGACCACCATGGTGCACTAGGGCCTAGGGCTCTCGCATGCTTCCTTCAAAAAAAAATGCTGCAACTTGCCAACAACCAGCTGGAGTAGCTCACTGCTGCTCCGGGGCACTGTGTCTGCATGACGCGACAATTGCTTTTTTGCTGATTCACATGGAATCCAACAATCATCCACTTGTAGAAGAATCTTCTTTTGCAGAACCCCTTTTTTGTGTCCGTTGTCTTCTCTCGAAGCAGAACCATCTCGTAGCTCTGGCCAAGTGAATGCCCTGAATTGTATTTATCCCCAGAAACCACCAAGACCACATGGCCAACCTGATGAACCCTGTCTAAAAACACTTTCGCATGTTGAAAGCAACCTATGTTGTTGGTATGGCGGCCATGTTGGCACAGGTTCTGTTTGCCCTCACTCCCCAGACATTTCCCCAAGTTTGCCATAGGCAGCCACCCAAGGGCCGGACGTCTTCGACGTGGGGCTCGTTAGACCCTGGAGGCAAGGACTGAGGGAGTTGGGGACGATATGCGATGGGAGCCAAGGGGTCCTGTCACTTTCCATTCTGCTTCAACATGAGTCGGATTGGATTTCACCATTATCAAAGTCACGCTCCATAGGAAAGCGAGTAGCAACCCAAGGTTGAGGCCACGCTTAGGACCAGCAATGTGAAGCGCGGGTAAGTTGACCTTCACTGACCATGGCTTGAAAGCCCGTAACGAACGGGCCAAACATCGAAGTAAATGATCTATCCGTCGTGAAATCAAGGAAGGACGATTCTTGGGAGACCATATCTCTTTGAATGTGGCCTTGCGACAAGATAACAAAACTCCAGCACACTCGCGGTGCTTGAAACAAACCAGTTCATGCAAGCAAAGCTGCAAGCTGAAGCACATGTTTTGACGGTCAGAGTGCCAGTATCAGGAACTTGCAACTAACCCTCCAAAAGCGGCACCCTGATCGGCTTCATGCCTTGGACTTGGAAGTCACCCCCGCGTCACGTTAGGCCGAGAAGTTGTTGTCTTCGATGTTTTACCCCAGTCCTCACTTGAGACGCCTAGGGAGCATGGTCAAAGCTTGGCGGGCAACAGTATTAATAAATCTGGATGGTACCTAGACGGCTCTGGCCTAATGTGAAGCTTGCACGTCCCCATCTGCTGTTTTGGGTGCAACAAATCATGGTTAGTATTTGCTTCATGGTTGCATTGTGGCTGCATGTTAAAGCCCATGATGTCCCATGAGGTTAAATGTCCCTCAAAGGAGCCCACAAAGGGACATTAAGCATCATGGGACATCATGGGCTTTACCCTCCAGGCACAATGTAACCAGGAGGGATACCAAACACATTTCAGCAGCATGTTTTGTGGTGCCCCACTTGTACAGCATGTTCCTGCTCGGAGACGCTTTTCGGGGGAGTGCCATGTTATCGGGGAGTACCTTTTGCCCCCTCCTTGGTCCATATAGTCCTTGGTTGAAACAGAAGGTCCTCCCTCAAGCAAGGTTACCAACTTTGTATTTAGGCTACTGAAGGCAGGGCAGTTGAAATCACATCTTGTCTGGTCCGACGAGACGGCTTGGGCACAGAAACACTGCAAGCCTGGCTTCGCGGAAAGCAGCAACCTAAGTTGAAAGGGGAAGGAGGATGAGGAGGAGGAGGAGGAGGAGGAGGAGGAGGGAGGGGGACGGTACAGGGTTCCTTGTGTGTTTGTGTGTGTGTGTGTGTGCATCACCCAGGGCACTTCCCGCACCAAACTGGGACAGCACAAAGGAAGCTTCAATCACATTGGCAACCACAAAAGGCGATGTTTAAACCACCCACTGGCAAACTACTATGATTCCCAACGTGCAAATAAGAGAACACCCCCAAGGGTGAGCTCGCTAACACACGGCCCCCTGTGGCATGATCGACATGCTACGGCCGCGGAGGGCTCCCAAACCAGCTCGAGTCCCGGCTTGCATGCACCAGTAGTGATTCCAGAAATCTTATCCCATCCAGTGCCTCCCGGTTACCACTATTACAGTAAACTATATCAGAAACCAGGGTTTCTTACCTCTAGTGCTCTGACAGCAATACCAGGGATTTGGCCATCGCTTTCTGCTCCAACCGCTGACTCTGAGCCCCTGGGCCGGCCATTCTCCTTGTCCACGGCCTTCACCCGGACCTGGGATGTCGGTTCCCTAGATTTCTCCTTTAAGCATCATCCCTTCCAAAGTAAACTCACGGATTTCGTCCCAAAAGATGATGTTCAAACCATCCGACAAGGGGCACGGCCTCAGCTTGGAAGCAACCAGGAACAAGCCCCCCGCCCCGATCCCGCTGTGTGTGGCGTGTCCTCTGTTTCCGACAGAGTCCGACTGCAAAAGTTTGAAGTCACTGCAAGTGGAAGGGACACGACCCCGCTTTCTGACGCTGACAACACCTGAGAATTGCGAAGACAATGCAACATGGCTGTGGAAAAGGGGCCCGAAATCTGTGATACGAAAGAGGGGAATTATATTCATATTCCCGGGACTATGTTATCACATGAAAGGGGATTTGAATCCTTAGTATCATAGAAATTAGAAAGCTAAAACCCAGTTTTCCACAACACGCATCACAACATCCGACCAATTGAACTTCATGCCCCCATTTACCTGGCCAAGGGGCCCGCAGCGTCACGCCGGGCCGCAGATCCTCATGGTTGTCCAGTTCCGTGAGGTGCACCTGGGACCGTGCGCGCTCAAGCACGCGAGTGGGAACGACACCGCGCTGTCGGATCCACAAGTTGGTGGAGTTGCTTAGAAGCTTGCCAAACTGATCCGGCGATGCTTGAGTTGCAGAGGTTCACTCACGCTCCTTATTGAACATTGTTGTGTTCGAGGTTGCAAGCCAAAACCCTTTGCAAGGTCGTTATAATTTGCCAAATGATTCATCTTTATTCAGTTGAAAATTAAAACACGCGGAAACCACTGCCAACCAAAATAGAACTCTGAAGCTCTCCTGCAGGAAGCGAAAACTTACACGAAACAAATCAGCCCAGTTCCTCGGGGTCACAGCACTCCCGCTGCTTCAAAGAAACCAGCCTGCCGTGGCCCGGGACCCCTGCCAAGCCCCACCGCGGCGCGCCGCCTGGCAACGCCAGGAAGGCGGCTGAGAAAGGACCGATGCCCCAAGTGCCCTTTTGGCGGAAATGGATGGCGCTGGGAAATGACTAGAACCAAAATGAAGCTAGTGGAATCTCTCTATGTTCAAGCAAACTGACCTAAGTGAGGCCAACGCTTTTTCACGTGCTGGCCCTGGGAGTGAATTCATTACGTTTGTGCCTGCAGAAAGACTGGTTGAATTCGGGTCAATGCCGGGCAGCCTCCTCCAGTTCCTGAATACACTGGCCCGTTCCACACTCAGCCTCCCTTGGGTCGACCAAATTTCCAAGCCAAAAGCCTTCAACACTGCGGTAGTTGAATCGCACCATGGTTGGCCTGCAGCTTGTCAAAGCCACGCTGCCCTGCATGACGACGAGCATCCCAAACAAAGCCGAGCTTGTTGAGACGGTCAACCTGCTCCTTGCTCAATTTGCCCCGAGATTTCGCGGTCCACTGCGTGTTGACCCAGGGTCCAAGCCAAAAGCCGTCAGCACTGCGGTACCTGCGTGGTACCATCAAGTCACCATACTCTGCTTGGTAGGCCTGCGGCTTGTCAAAACCTTTCTCCCAGGCGTGGCCACGAACATCCCAAACAAAGCCAAGTTTGTTGAGACGGCCAACCTGCTCCTTGCTCAAGGTGCCCCGAGATTTCGCGGTCCGCTGCGTGTTGACCCAGGGTCCAAGGCAAAAGCCATCAGCACTGCGGTACTTGCATGGTACTATCAAGTCACCATGCTCTGCTTGGTAGTCCTGCAGCTTGTCAAAACCTTGCTCCCAGGCATGACGATAAGCATCCCAAACAAAGCCAAGTTTGTTCAGTCGGTCAACCTGCTCCTTGCTCAATTTGCCCTGAGATTTGGCTGTGCGCTGCTTGTCGACCCACATTCCAAGGCGAAAGCCATCAGCACTGCGGTACTTGCATGGTACCATCAAGCGATCATGCTCTGCTTGGTAGGCCTGCAGCTTTTCAAAACCTTGCTCCCAGGCATGACGATAAGCATCCCAAACAAAGCCAAGTTTGTTCAGTCGGTCAACCTGCTCCTTGCTCAATTTGCCCTGAGATTTGGCTGTGCGCTGCACGCTGACCCACATTCCAAGGCGAAAGCCATCAGCACTGCAGTACTTCCATGGTACCATCAAGTCACCATGCTCTACTTGGTAGGCCTGCAGCTTGTCAAAAACCTTCTCCCAGGCGTGGCCACGAACATCCCAAACAAAGCCAAGTTTGTTGAGACGGCCAACCTGCTCCTTGCTCAATTTGCCCCGAGATTTCGCGGTCCGCTGCGTGTTGACCCAGGGTCCAAGGCAAAAGCCATCAGCACTGCGGTACTTGCATGGTACTATCAAGTCACCATGCTCTGCTTGGTAGTCCTGCAGCTTGTCAAAACCTTGCTCCCAGGCATGACGATAAGCATCCCAAACAAAGCCAAGTTTGTTCAGTCGGTCAACCTGCTCCTTGCTCAATTTGCCCTGAGATTTGGCTGTGCGCTGCTTGTTGACCCACATTCCAAGGCGAAAGCCATCAGCACTGCTGTAGCTCCATGGTACCATCAAGTCACCATGCTCTGCTTGGTAGGCCTGCAGCCTGTCAACAGCATTCTCCCGGCCATTACGCCGAGCATCCCAAACAAAGCCAAGTTTGTTCAGTCGGTCAACCTGCTCCTTGCTCAATTTGCCCTGAGATTTGGCTGTGCGCTGCTTGTTGACCCACATTCCAAGGCGAAAGCCATCAGCACTGCTGTAGCTCCATGGTACCATCAAGTCACCATGCTCTACTTGGTAGGCCTGCAGCCTGTCAACACCATGCTCCCAGGCATGACGATAAGCATCCCAAACAAAGTCCAGCTTGTTGAGACGGCCAACCTGCTCCTTGCTCAATTTGCCCCGAGATTTCGCGGTCCGCTGCGTGTTGACCCAGGGTCCAAGGCAAAAGCCATCAGCACTGCGGTACTTGCATGGTACTATCAAGTCACCATGCTCTGCTTGGTAGTCCTGCAGCTTGTCAAAACCTTGCTCCCAGGCATGACGATAAGCATCCCAAACAAAGCCAAGTTTGTTCAGTCGGTCAACCTGCTCCTTGCTCAATTTGCCCTGAGATTTGGCTGTGCGCTGCTTGTTGACCCACATTCCAAGGCGAAAGTCGTCAGCACTGCTGTAGCTCCATGGTACCATCAAGTCACCACAATCTGCTTGGTAGGCCTGCAGCTTGTCAAAACTTTGCTCCCAGGCGTGGCCACGAACATCCCAAACAAAGCCAAGTTCATCAAGAATCCTAGAGCGCTCATAGCTCAGGTGGCTGGGTGGTGCCAAGGACCCCTTGCGAAAAGCTAACCCGTTGCTAAACCGTTGCTAAACCATTTGCCAACAAGGTAAAACAAATTAGAGGTTGCAATGAAGAGCAACCAAGGAACAGGCATGTGTCAGCAGCTGGCAAGTCCACCCCCTCACTCAGCACGTCCACCGTCACCAGCACCCGCAGCCCCCCATCCTCAAATCCTCGCAGCACGTCCTTGCGCCGTGCGGAGGCCGTCTGGCCGTTGTAGTGGCCCGCCGGCACGTCCGCCGCATTGAGCAGGGTGGCAAAGGCCCTGGCCTCTTGAACAGTGTTGCAAAAAGCCAATACCTTGCGGGCACCACAGACACCCTTCCTCAAAGACCTGTTTGGCCTCATGCAGCCTTACAAGAGGCCAAGCAAGCCCAAAGCACTCAAGAAAAAGTGTTGCTGGGTCTTCGGGGTCTTTGGAGTGTTTTTGAAATGACCCGAACCTTCCGCGACAGCGGCAGCCCCTTGATCAATTCCACCAGGCATGGCTGAGGGTCACCCTCCGACAGCACCGGCACCATCACCGAGTAGTCCGCGATCACCCCGACCGCGATTGCCGGCCTTAGACCAAAGTCGAAGTCGGGCGAACTGAGGCGCAAGGTGGCGCTGAAGAAGATCCGCTTCTTCGCAGGAAGCGACAGCACTTGTTTCGCATGCGCCCCGAGGATCTCCTGCAGGCGTTCGCTCGATCGCTGTCAACGCATGTTCAAGTGCACAGGTTGCAAAAGCGCAGTCGCTGGGACAACTCATCTTACACCCTCCTTTCAAGAAGTGGACTCCATGGTCGCGTGTTCATTCAGCCATGTTCAGTGACCAATGTTGCCCAAGCCCTCAGCCAGTCCTCCGAGCTTTCCTCCGGCCCCGGCTCATAGTGGTGCGCCTCGTCCAACAGCAAGAGGTCCAGCGTCAGATTCTCCAGCTGCCACGCGGAGTTCCGCGCGCACACAAAGACATCTGCCCCCAAGTCCGCCCGCCACCCGGTGCCCACACGGCGCACCTTGTGACCTGGTGGCAAGGTTGGGCCATACATAAATCTGTTTGAGCATGCTTGAACACCACTGTTGCCGAAACATTCTGAGTTTTTTTTGACGGGAAATCTTGAAATGGATTCTAAAAGAAGTTTGCCCATCAAGGCTTGCATTTAGAGCAGCCCCCCGTAGGGAATGGTTTGTTTGCCTACTGATTTAGGTTTACCTTCAGAGCAACCCACACGGAGTGTTTTTAGTGGCAACATTTTGCCCATTCTCATTTCGGCTTCCCTTTCGAGCAGACCACATGCGCTGGTCTGAAGACCCGATTTCGCTTCACCCGCCTGGCAACATCTCCTCCAATAACCGCGCTATCTGCTCCATGAGATCCAGCTTCGGCACTGCCACGCATGCACGGCCTCCTGTGGCCACGACCTCCTGCAGCAGGTCCGCCATCACCAAACTCTTCCCTGCGCCCGTCGCCATCTGCACCTTACGGTACCATTGTGTCGCGTGGATAGTCCAAAAGAAACCACTCATCCAAACATGAAAAGAACAAAATCCGCTCAAACGCGCAGGGCACGAAGAAGTCCCGCTTGGACCCAGCAGCGCGCTCCAGAAACTTGCGGCAGCGGCGCAGGCAGGCCACTTGGTGCGGCCACCGCCGCAACTCCTCCCGCGTCCGCGCCCGACAGGAGGTTCGCGCCGAGGCGGTCTCTGCTTTGGCGCGCTGGCGCCACGAGGCGATCCGCTGTTCGGTGTAGCGCACGCGGGTCATGTCGCTCCACCCCACCCAGGCGAAGCTATGTCACTCACCCACCATACCAGCAGGGACGGATGCGGTTCCGGTGATAAGGGCAACGCAACGCTTTCCCTTCTATATAAGCCAACCGAAAACACAAGAAACCACTTGGCAAACCCACCAAACATATCCCGGGCACCAGCTCGGGCAAGCGCGTGGTGGCATTGGTCGCCACCACAAGATCCCGCACAAGGCGCCGCAAAGGAGACTTGTCGGCCCTGACCAGGTAGTAGAAGTTGGTGAGGCGATGCAGAGGCACTGTGCCACCTTTGCTGTAGTCCTTGGCCTGGTTTGAACCAAACCAAACCCGCAGTAGTAAGTAAGCACCGCCCTATTTCGCTCATAGGATCTACGCTATTGACGCCAACCATTAAACAGTTCGACACCAAACAGCAACAAAGGCAACAAGCCAAACAACCTATCAAAACAAAAGCCACACACACACACAAACCCACCACCTCCTCCTACCCACACCCCTGACCCGCCTGCACGGCCCTGGACAGATCCAGCGCCAAAGAATCCACGCCGCGGTCCGCCAGCGGCAGCCCGTGCCGCTCCTTCAGCCGCACGGGAAGCAGCGCCCAGGGCACGGTGCCCTGGTCCAGGGCCGAGATCAGCTCCAGCTCCTGGCCGTTTTGGGGTTCTAAACCTGGATCTGCGAAATGATTCTAAGAGGCTGGGTCCGAGAAACATGGGTCCAACGCCAGCTCCTAAGGTTCTAAGAGGGTTTTGGGATTGAACCGTTTGGGATCCCACCGAAGGACGAGGAGGCTTTGTTGAGCAGCTTCTTCTCTTGTTGGTTGGGTCTTACGAAAACAAAGGAACTCATCTCCTGGTTGTTTGGTTTCTCTTGCTTGACGGGTTGCTGGGTACGAGGTTAGTGTGGTTTGGACCCTTTGGTGATTTGCATCAAGATTTAAGTCCCGACCCATGTTTGCCGGGGTTATACAACCAGGAGGATTCGGCTCCTGCCTGAGATTGCCATCTTTCCTTGACTGGTTTGGATGTTTACGCAAGTAGTCTGAAAATAAAAAGGCTTTCTCAAAAAACGCCGGGTGGTCTGGTTGCTCTAAATCCTGCCTCTGTGGTACTGAGGTTGCGATCTCTTTTGGGATCACTTGGATTCGCGTTGAGCATTCCCCCTGCCGTGCTCTGAGCGCATTTCTCCGAAAGCTCCTGCCCCGGCAGCAGATCTCCCGCCGCACGGCCCGCTGCACTGCCCGCGCCTCAGCCGCGCTCAGCACCTCTGGCGCCGTGCTCAAGGCGCGGCCACAAACGGCGCCGCAGACGACCGCGGCCAGACCTGGCCCCGCTTCTTTGCCACAATCAAAGTCACACCCCAAAGTGGCAGGCTCAAGGGAAACTTGAATTAAGCTAAGCTTCTGACTATGATACTTCTTGAGCCAACAAAACCTGGCGTAGGAAGCGCAGGACCCGGAATGCGCCGCGGTGCACGCGGCGACGGGTGCCATGCAGAGACCGCATGGCGCTGAGCGTGGCTTTTTGGCTGTCGGGCCAAATGAGCGCCAAAGCCTGGATGTGGGGGTGCCATCTTTGGATGGTGCCCTTGGAAGTAACATAAAGAAAAACAAACGTGTCTTTTTGGGGGTCCCCTATTTAGAGACAATCCCTTACATGGCATCAAGGAAGGGCAGACCTATGCGCTGTGGCAATGCAAGCAATGTGGGCGACGTGGTCAACAGGATCAGTTCAATGCCCTGCTTGGCTGTGTGCAAGAGTGGAAGCCCTTCCTTGGATGGGTCAGGCAACACAAGTCAGCTGCTGCCCCAGCAGGTAGGTGGAAAACTGAGGACCCCTCAAATAGTTGGTTTCATGTTGGTCTTGTTCTGAAAACGTGCCCCAAAAGTTTCCCCCAGTTTGACAGAAAACCATGCTGGGACAACGAACCTGCGGAAGCAAGTGGGACAAGCCTTGCCCTCCAGTGCACCGAGTTGGATACTTGATTTGGGGCCCTTTGGTCTTGAGGAATCTGAATTCAGGCTCCCTTAACATGGTCGATGGCAACTGACAGCTGGAGAGAAAGAGTGACCCCGAGTCAAAACCAAAACCCAAGCGTCAACACCTATGGCCCTATGGCAAGGAAACATCTATGCCAAGGACTCACAACAGCTTTGTTTGTCGCCATTTCTGATTGGACATGTCCCCAAATCAAATGGCTGACCTGCCCCCTAAGCCATGCGACTGACGCGCCTTGTGGAGGCACCACGCTGACGTAGGTACCTTGCAAGGCGCTCAAGCCCCACGTCAAGCAAGAAACGCAAAAAGCCCCTGCCAAAACCTGCGGGAGAAGTCCTAACTTGACCCAGCAAAAAAAAAAGGCGGTCACCTTGTCGAGCGTCAAAACCAGCCTGCCCAACACTCCTCAAACAAGCCCCGTTAAAGCCGGGCTAGAACCTTCAAAGAAACCTCAAAAAGAATCGGAGGGCACTTCAACGGGGGAAACTTCCGTGCATTCTCAAACCTTCAGCCAGTGCGAAAAGCTGAGTATCGCCAGGTTAAGTTGAAATGTTTGAAGCATCAACCCTACCACTCCTTTTCTTTTCCGGAACAGAACAAAGCACTACAAGGGGCTAAATAATTGCCCACGTGACCATTACTATCTTATACTCATGACTGGCATTGGCTTTTGAAGTACCCCAACCCATCGCCTTTGGAATACCCTTTAGCCGGGGGCCGGGCCAAAGGAGGCCACTTGCCGCACGCGGCCCTCCAGCCAGGCTCCAGGCCTCAGCTTTCCGCGCGTTTCAGGTGAAACGAACGCACCCTGTTGGGCTGGAGCGACTTTGCGTTTCCAAAAGTAGGGAGAACCGGAAGGAAAACAGAAACTGCTGGAATCGGAAAGGTTTAGCCGCTTCTTGGGCCTCAAAGGCGCCGGGCCGTCTTCTCGGGGTTCCCTGCCTACACCAAGTGCGTGTCAGTGTGTGTGTGTGTGTCAGAAACGATCAAATTCAGGATCACTAAGATACGGCCCATGCACTGGAAGCATGTTTGTGGATGCTTGCGCTTCGTGATTGCTCGAAGGACTGAACTTCAGTGATGCATGATGGGAGGTTGGTTGCGGTGGTTGAGGTTGCTTGGCGCCAAGGCATTAGTTACAATTGCCTTCTGAACAGGAAAAAACAACTGTTCTACCCTGAGGCTTGGATATCGGAGAGATGCTGAACGAGTTCTCACTCACGCTTGCCAGACTCATGCCATATCCGACGTGCTCGTGTGCAGCATACGGGGAGTGCAGGCGCTGCTTAGTTCTCGAGAAAAAAATGCCATCTGATTCAAACTGGTTGTATTTGTTCCTCTGCACTGTACTCCCACTCTCCCTCTGTTCTTTCTGCTTTGTTGCCGGTTGCTGACGTGAAGCATGTTGTGACTAGAGCACCAAACAAGGCTCTCCGCACATGCGTGATGTTTTGTGCACGTGTCTGTGTGCAGTAGGCAACATAGCCGAACCACCATCCTTGTAGTTGCCTTGTCCGTTGCCAAGGTTGTACAAAATTCCCCCGCCACCTGGCAAGAACCCATCTTACCAACTAATCATCCACTGAGCCCAAACCCCTGAAACAAATCAGTTGCTTGTAATGGAGCTTTCATGATCAATTGAAAGTTGTTTCTTGGCCCAGACAGAGGGCTTGAAGAAGCTAAGCGACCAGCACAGCTTCAAAGGCGGACAGGTCTTGCCTGTCTGCCAGGCGGTCTTCGGCTTCCTGCGGAAGCAGCAGGAATGCAGACGCGGGCGTTGCCCAAGACAAAATTGTGTAGGCATTTTTTGTTTGCCCCATGTCCTCCCCAAACCAGCAGACCAACTCTAGACCAGTAATTGTGCCAGTCACTCAAAAAAGGAACCCCATCTTGTGGACGAAGTTGGGTAAACATCCCAATGGGAGGAGTGCACCTTACTTGAGGAACCAAGCAACCAGCATCAGGTTTTGGAGAAAAAAAAACACCATGCAAGAGAGAAACCTGACCCCAACAATCAGGATCTCGTGCTAAAAGTATGGGGGGAAGGGCACCCACACCAAAGCAAGTTGCCTCGTGTTTGCCATGTTGATGCTCCAGCTTAGGCATCTGGTTGGCTCCTACAGGACTCTGCGGACATTCACAAAGGGCCAGTGGGCATGAGCAACGGTGTCAACGATGCCTTGAACTGGGTCGTCCTCAAAATCACCACAAAACAATGATACAAAGGAAATCAAAAACGAAAGTAACTTGAGAAACCCTCAACATGTTCACTGTACGGGACCAAATTGAAAGTCAGTCGGAAAATATGACACCCCGCATCCAAAACCCAGTCTCCCGCACCTCCTGCTCCTGCTCTCCAGGCATCTGCAACGCCTGCAACTGGGCCTTGCGCAAGGCACAAGTCAGGTTCCCGCATTTCCCAAAGCCCACACAGAATTGAGAATCCCGAAACCTGAGAATGCTCCACCATGGACGCACGCTTGCTCCGGCCTGGCTAAAAGGAAAAAAATGGGCAAACACATAAGCAGGCAAGCCAGCCAGCAAACAAACAAACAAACGGACAATCAAACAATCAATCAGGCCAACCATCCGAAGACAAAACCACAGCCTTGCCTCGAGGTCCGCCTTGATGTCCAAGGCCCCGCCCTTCATGGAGAGCCTCAGCCTCGCGGCATTAGAACCCCAAAAGAGGCAAGGTGAGTCCAGGCTGATAGCTGCCACATCAAGGAACAAAAAAAGCCAAGGAGATGAAATTCAAGCCTGGAACGAGACCAAAGCAATGCAGGGACATGTGTTTGCACCAACAACAAGTCGGTAGCAACCCAGGAATATGCACTATTTGCTGCGGCCAAGCCTGTTCCCAGCCCCCTAATGGGCCTATGTTGCCATGGTCGCCCAAAGCAAACATGTAGAAGCAACAGCAAAACGTGAATATATTGCATGTTGTTGCAGAGGCTTGACCTCTTGACCTTGCATATTCACAATGCCCTTGGTTGGTGAAACCGAATGGGAAGGTCCGCCCCGAACATCCAAACCCACCAATCCAAAACAACTAATCCAAAACAACTAATCCAAAAACCACCTCTAATCCACACCACCAGTCTAGGTCATGGTCATGGTTCCATTTAGAGGAACCACTCTTGAGGGGGTCCCAGACATCAATGCCACCCGCAAATCCAAAAACCACCAGTCCGTGTCGCCGCTATACCATCAATGGCTCCGTCGCAACCTCCCTTAGAAGCGGCCCAACGGCTCCAGGGTCCGGACATCCCGCCGGAGTTCCCCAGCACGCGCACGTGCACCTGGCGAATGGTACCATTGGGAAAGGAACTAGCAATGCTTTGCAAAGCACAATGGGAAGGAAGATAGAAAACTGGCGCGGACCATTTCCCTCTATCAGGAACCCTCTAGAAAATGGAAGTCCAACTACTGTCATTCAAAGCCTGCACTGCCTTGTCTAGTCACACCCGATGTTGTTTGTCCACAAAAATGAGGTCCTCTCCCAAGAGAGGATTCCTCTAAGATCAGGTCGATTTGGGGAGTCCCCCTGAGCCCTCTTTCAATTGGACCACGGACTGGATATGTTTTGTTCGGCGAGCCTCCCTTGCAGACAAACGCTCAAGTGCCGACTCCCGAGCCCCACCGCCTGGTCCCCCGGGATGAAAAACATCTCGAGGTTGCCATCTGAGAGGTCAATCCTGAAGCTAGCGGCAAGCTGCTGAGGAAAAGTTCCTGCCGCAACCAGACCCGACTCGGCTCCTTCAAGGGAACCAGAGGAGCTTGTTGACAATACGTCTGGTGACCTTTCTTTCATATTGAAACAAGTGTTACGTTCTTGGCTAAATCTCCGCATCGCCCAAAACAGGGAAGTCCAAACGGCCGCCTTTTTCTTGCGCTTGCTCCAAAGACCCTGGGCACCGGCACAAAGTCCCTGACAAAAGGAACCCAAAGCAAACCAAAGGACACCTTGGTGGGATTCTATCCTTGTGGGATCCTGGTGTTTTTCTACTCCCACCTTTGACCATATTTGTTCTACTCCTTCTGGGTTTGTCCATCTTTTAGGATCGGCTTGGAGAAAGCCAGGTGAACTTCTCCAAACCAGAACACTTCAAGGGCCCCATTAAGGGCTTCTCCCAGGCTCATCCCGCCTAGATGTTCCCCCCCCTGCTCAACCCCCGCTTGACTCACTGCAAAAGTTAACCAGGAACTCAAGCAATGGTCTCCCAAAAAGGAGATTCCTCCAAAAGAAGCTGCTTCTTGGGCGGTTCCATGAACATTTTTGTAGGGGAGCCCCGCCCAAGCTCGGCCCAACCCGCACGAAATTGACCCATCTCCGGGTCCGGGGCCGCTCGGCGGGCACCACTCCCGCGCATTGCGCAGGGAGGCTCGGATGCAGGACCTCCAAGGACCTGACAGTGCCAAAGATGTGGTTGATCTGTCAACATGTGGCCATGGGTCAAAAGCCAAATCGTACCCCCAGTGAACATCCGACTCAATCCCCACTCATTATAGGTTCTAAAATGGGTGGTGCACCTACCCCAAAATGGTACCATTGGTTTTGACCCACAGCCAGGTGGTTCCATGTTTTTCACCAGGCCATTGCCAGCATGTGGTTCCAGGCGTTTCCACCAAACCATTCCCGGAGTGAACATCTCAGATCGCGAGAAAACACCTGGCTTCTGCCATTCGAAGCGCGCTACCAGCTCAAACTGTGGGTTGCTTCCCGGAGGCAAGTAGACAGGGAAACTCCAAACTCAGAACTTTGCCCAAGAGCAGTAGATGTGCAACCCGTGGTTTGAGACCTCAGGCATTTCCAGCATGCGCAGTATAGAGCTCCGGGAGATGAGGATTTGGCCCCATTTTAGCAGCATGGGATTTACCGCTTTGGTATCACAGGACGGGGCCGGCTTTCTAGACAAGCATGATTTGTAGGGCCCGCTCAACCAGTCAAACTTCCCAGGCAGAAACAACGTAGCAAGGAAGCGGGGGTTACATTTCTGGGTTCCGCATCAGTTGAAAGAAGCGCTCCACTGACAGAAAAGCCCTTTGCCATTGGCAGAAGCGCTCAGCTTGCTTTGAAAGCCACTCGCCGTCACTTGAAAACAAACACTACCAGGTCAAACTGCCGGCCTGTCCACGAAGTTCTTGAGATGCGCCCAAAGCTTGAGAGACTGGCCAGGGGAGGTGGCCACAGAAATGGTCACCGCGTCTGCTGTCAAGTGCCTCTTACCTGGCAACTTCAGTCTCCATGGGCCAAGCGCTTCAGGCTGCGCAGGCTGCGTGCCCGACCGTCTCAGAGTATTCCTTGAGCCGGCCGCTGGTTTCCCAGTCCGCGGACCGTGCCCGGCAGGGCATCTCAGAGACCCCAGGGCACCTCTCGAAGCGCAGGTGCTGCAGGATGTCCCAAGCCTTCACTGAGGAGTCCAGCAAGCTGATCTCCCGAAGGCAGCCCACCGGAACTGGCCGATGCTTGGGAATGGTTGGATCCGTGCGATCTGGACGAAGGTCCTCTCTTTCTTGAAAAGTCTGGCAACTCAGTCGGAATCGCGTCGGGGACTTGTGTCTCTGAGTCCTCCCGCAAGGCGACGAGGTGATACCTATCGCCAGCTCCCCAGTATTGAGGAACCTGGACATGAAACATATCCACGCGCACCTTCACATCATTGGCGCCACGCAAACAAGCGCGCACGCAGAGAGGGAGACTTGCCTCCTTGCTTTCGTCGCCCGAAGATGCGATCAGCTGGGCAAAGTTCCGCTTCTCATCTTCACCCAGGAAATTCTCAAAGGACTTCCCGTGCAAGGCGGTGCTGATCATCAGCATGTGCTTGAGGCACTGCGGCTCGCCTTGAATGCGCATCTGGCTATCCAGCAAGACTTCACCATCGCACACTCCCCGCAACAGGCGTCGGAAAGCCGTCAACATGGACCCAGCCTCTGCAGACTCAAAGTGGGCTTCGATTTGAGAGCTGATGCAAGTCTCCAGAAAAGAGGACAGGGCAATGAGGCTGGTTGCGACACATATCTCTCTGAATACGAAGAAGGGATTGCAACGCCGCGAGATGGCTAGGGCTGAGGCAAGAAGTTGAGGAGCTGCCATAATCCGAGTATTCACCATTGGCAAGGCTACAGCGAAGCGGCACCCAACCATGAATCCGTCCAGCCCCAGCTCATCACCTTCAGTGGTGATGCGAGCTGCGAGCCCCGTTGGTATGATCACCAAGACGTTCATCAGCAAAGCAAGAGAAGATATCTGGGACGCAGACTTGATGAGCCCCTGGCTGGCCATCGATTTTAAAGGATAATCCACCGCCACTGCAGCGAGACAGCTGCCCGAGAAATGTGAAAGTCGCTGAACATCAGGCATCCAAACACCACCAGAACCGCAGCTTCTACATGAACGGAGAAGCCCGCACACATCTCCCAAAGTTGGCATTGAACGTTGTCAAATGCTTCCTGCACCCTGCGCTCTTTGGCAAGCGATCGAAGTCCTGGCCCAGGCCAAGGCTGGCGAACGCCATGAAGCATCAGGTGGAAGCCTAGGAAACCAGCACCCAAGGACACTAAAATCGGCTCCATGGTCACTGAACCAGGAGCTCTGGACCCTTGAGATGCTGACGCCGCACATATATATATATATACATATATACACACATTGCTTGTGGTCACATAACCACTATATAGCCACATATATATATATATGCATATATATATATAGATACATATGTACACCACATGGCCTCTTGGCAAAGGGCTTCCCTCATGTCAACAAAGTGGAAGTCCCAGGCTCCCTTTCCAAAAGGAAGTGGTCATCCAAAGAAGTTGCTTCTTCCATGTTGCCCAATAGCTGCTTTGGGGGCAGTGAAACTGTTGAAGGTTCATGGTATGGTGCAAAATCGCACTACCAGTGAGTCCCGGTCTTTGCTTTGACGCCATATATATTAATGGCCTGACCCTGGTAGCAACCCTTGATGAATGACCAATTCTCGCTGTATGTATGAAGAATCAGCCACTTATTTTTTTCTTGGGGGGGGGGCGGGGGCAGAGGGTTCACGATAAATGAGTATGAACTTTAATTTGGGCCCACTTTGGTGGACATCATTTGGGTTGGGATTCATGCCCACCAAGCACTTGGGTACCCTTATTGAGAAAGACAAGCACAAACCCAGCTGTACGTATAGATATACGTACATTGGGAATTGGGTTCTAGCAAATGGGCTCCTTTGGGATGCTTCACACATATTATGTGTTTCGCCCGTTAAACAGGTAATTACCCTGGGTATGCCTTCTGCCTCTTGACTACAACCTACAAAGAGCTTCTCCCTCCAATGCTCAGCACCCTGCACTTCCTGCTGCGTAACGCCTCGGACATGGGAACCGAACGAATGCAGCATGTTGCCCGAACTTCTAAAACTCTCACAGGGTCAAGCTGGAGACACGCTTACCCCGAAATGACTTTGCTTCAAGGGTAAGGCAAATTCCTTTTTGGGGCTAGGAGGGTATGTGGTCAAGCTGAGTCCTGTAAGCCAACGGACAAAAGTCAACGCTGTCCGAGGCATTTCTGGCAATGGGACTGTTCCGAATCTCTTGCCTTCAGCTGCCCCAACAGACAGCCCACTGGAGGCTACAAAAAACAGCAAGAATCACGTTTGACAGTATGTCAGCCGTGCGCGTAGCAGTCTGTCATTTGCATAACTTTTGGAGGAAGTTCATGCGACCACGCCATGTCAATCATAGCTTCTGACAATTCTCAGGTAATATTTAGTCTGGAATCAAGTTTCGTTGACTGGATTTAAGACTGAATTAACTGAGAGAGAATATCCAAGAGAAACGTTTCGCGGGAAGGCCTGAACATTGATTTGAATCCAGGGCAATATGAGACATATGTGTTTACAGCTTGTCAGCAGGCCAAGGATCTTGCTTTCCAGATCTGAGAAATTTCTCTGAATATGTCCCGCGGTTTTGGAGCTTGATCCCAGAGGGCAACGCTTGAAATCCTGGAAGCGGTGTCCATCCGATTCAATTTGTGTAGTTTACGTGTCGCCCCTCTGTGTCCCCTCTCTCAATCTCAGAGACTGAAAATCAAGAAAACTACAAGAAAAGCACAAACGGTGAAATGCCAGCAACCCTCCTTAGGGCAGGAAAAAGACCTTGAGGAACCCCCAATCCCCAA